ATAAGCATATAAAATTTTTTATGGCTGTCTTTGCAGATAGAATGTTAAAAATTTTTTTGAGATATAATTCACATACTATAAGATTCACCATTTTAAAGTATATTAAGTGGTTTTTAGTATATTCATAAGGTTCAGGATTTTTAAAAAATGTTTTTATCTCACCTCATTTCATAAATGGATTTAAGGTGGCCAACATAAAATGTTATCTAGGTCAAATCATTTCCCTTATTAATTCAAAATTGGCTTCTGGAGGCCATGAATATAAGAAGAAAAATAAAAATTTCTTAGGAGATGCAATTAAAATATAACTTCAGTGATCTAATTAATGCAGGAGTTGCTAAATGATTTTAAAGGGCATATAGGAAGTATTTTAGGCCTCATAGGCCGTATGGTCTCTGTTGCAACTGCTCAGCTCTGCTCGGGCAGGGTAAATGAATGGGGATGGCTGTGTTCCTGTAAAACAAGTGACCAGCCTGCACCACTGTAGTTTACCAACAAACATGTCTTCCATCACGTGGCTGAGCACAGTGTGCTGCTACTCCTCAGTACTGGGCCTCTCAAGGCCCTAAAATCATGGGCAAGGCATTTCAAAATTACAGGAGTCTTGAGGAACCTTATGTATATTATAGTAAATACCAATGGCACTGTTTGCCATAATGTGATAAATATGGTGAACCCTCTTCCTACTTCTGCCTAGCTTATAGCCATAAAAATTTTAGGACAAGAAAACTGTACTAGTTGCAATGAATTATGTTCTGCAAAGTCAAATGGATACAGATATGCTGAAGGAATGTGGTTGCACAGACCTGATGTAGCTGGCTGAGCAGACGACACATAATGAGCTCATCACGTACATTTATCTTTGCCAGGGTGGTATTTTGTAATCAGCTCTTTAAATTTTCATAACCAGTTTTATAATCCATAAAGAAACTTTTTCCCCCCTAGTAATATCTTTTGGGTTCTGATTTGATCTTATATTAATTTCATACATTCTGAGTCAGCCATTATGTTTCCCTCAGTTTCTCCAGATTCATTGAGAATTTCAAAAGTGGTTTAGCTAGGATGATAGTCCTTTATGACTGGGGCCTGGACAGTGTTTTGGGATTTTGTATGCTGTCATTGCAGGTACTGTTTAGTAAAGCTGCTGAAACGAAGATAAAACAACTAGCAAAAGAATTAGAAGATAAGAAAAGGAAAGCTGCTCAGATACTTGAAAACATTATTGATTTGTTTAACCAGGTCAGAACTGATGGGGAGGCGGGCTCTTGGTTACTTTTACTGTATTCAGAAGGTGGACAGAGAATAGTGTGCTGTATAAAAAATTAACGTGGAGAAGTCCTGGCGGCTTCTTTGCAACAGTGGTCTATACAGTTGAGACTTAACTGAAATGCAGTGACAAAACATTTATGTGCTTCCCTCCCCCTGCATTTTATGATGACACATTTCAAGTATACAGAGTAGTTTTCCACCTAGAGTCAACAGAGTCAGTCACTGAGTGTATACATGTGGGTCAGTTGGAGTGTGGAAGATGGCAGTGCAAGAGCAAGCAACGTATGGGGCAGGGCAAAGTGGTGGAAGTAATATTTGAGCATCTTGCACATACTGGGCACTTTTCTTACCTCATCGTGTAATCCTTGCAGTAACACAGGGAGAGGGGTTCTTATAATTCCCATTTTATAAGTGGAGAAACCAAGGTCTTAGAGCGACTAAGTGGTAGAGTATGGATCCAACTTCAGGTGTGTCTTAGACCAAAGCTCCCATTTCTCCACTTGACCACATGTGATGGCATACCTCATGGTCTATCTTCCATCATCATGCTGTATCTCAAAAGGGATCTAGTTATAAAGAAAAATTTGAGTCATAGAATGTTAATGCTGAAACCTTGAGTTATTCAGTCTAATCTCATTTTATAAATGAGGAAGATGAAAGGCATGTTTCTCAAGAGCTAGTTTTAATATTTTTTGTATACCTTTCATTGTCTTTCATAGACATCTTTATCTTTCCCTCACTATTCATATTTATCCACACACTCCAGTTAATAATGTTGCTTGTGGGGAGGAGGAAGCACAGGATACTGTGATTGGTTTTCTAAGAGAGAGCATTCACATCCAAGCTTTGCTTGTACTACAGTGGTTTCTTCCATTGTGTGTCCCTATCTTGCAGGCAGCTGGTGATGCTATTTCTGACATGCTGGTGATTGAGGCAATCTTGGCTCTGAAGGGCTTGACTGTACAACAGTGGGATGCTCTCTATACGGATCTTCCAAACAGGCAGCTCAAAGTTAAGGTGTGAGCGAGATTTTCAAATTACTTCTTTTCTGAGAAATAACTAACTAAAACCTATTATCTCAAATCTCTATATAAAAATATTTCCCAAGGGTGTCATATTTCATTCTGTACATACATACTGCATAGAAAATAATGCCTTACATCATCTAATTGTATTTTCTCACATCTTTAAAAAGTACAGAATAGCTCTTAACCATTCTGTTGTCTGAGAAGTATTTGGTTTCCAACTTTATTATAAATAATGATATGTATCACTTTTTAAAAAAGATTTTATTATGGAAAATTTAAAACAGATATAAGTGTAGAGGGAACAAAATAATGAACCCCTTTGTACATGGCTTCAACAGATTTCAACTATTGCCCTACACATTCTCCACATCCCCCATATTATTTTGAAGCAAATCCCAGATATCCTATCATTTTAAGTGAAAATATTTCCTTTGCATTATTCTTGGTTCACAGAGTACTTCCTGAGGCTAGATGCTGAGAAGTAGAATCTGTGGGCTCAAAGGGAGAGAATTTTTTAAAGGCAATTCAGATAAATGCTAATTGATTTCTATACAGATTTATACCAGTTTACACATTCACCAACAGAATTTGTGAAGACAGAGATACTAAAGCCAGTGTTCACAGAAATGGCTGCTGATTGTTCAGATTAGTTTTTGGCATATTTAGGAGAGTCTTATCACAACCCTCTTACATAAATAGGTTGCCACTTAGCCCCTCTTCTTAAATACCTAAGGTTATTTGATCAATGGCTAAGTCCTACAGTATTTACTGGCCATTATTTTAGTGGTAACTGTAAGAGAGAAAATGTTACCTCTTTATAGACTGAAGAAACAGAAGCTGTACAAATGAAATTAATAACCTTTTGACAGAAATAAAAATAAAATTGTAATGCAGTTTCATTTTATGCTGAATCCGGTACCTTGCTATCTTACTATGGCACAGTTATGTACCACATAACAACGTTTCAGTCACTGATGGACCACTTATATGATGGTGGTCCCAGGAGATTAGTACCATATAGCCTAGGTGTGTAGTAGGCTATACTATCTAGGTTTGTGTAAGCACACTCTATGATGTTCGCACAATGATGAAACTGCCTAACAATGCATTTCTCAGAATGTATCCCTGTCATTAAGTGATGTATGACTGTACTTTGTGGTACAATAAGCTGAAATGTAGCTGTTAATATTCAGTGAAATGGCTGTAATCTTTTGGTGGGAATTATGTTGAACAGGTTAAGCTTCTGAATGGGAGTGTAATATAGTAACGGATATGAAATGCTTGTGCATAGGTTGCAGACAGGCAAGTTATTAGCACCACTGATGCTGAAAGACAAGCAGTTACACCCTCAGGACTACAGGAGGCAATCAATGACCTGGTGAAGAAGTACAAGCTTTCCCGTGCTTTTGTTCGGCCCTCTGGTACAGAAGATGTCGTCCGAGTGTATGCAGAAGCAGACTCGCAAGTAAGCTGGGATAGTTCTAGTGAAAAACAGGTAGTGAGAGTCTGATAATATAGGTAGTGGGAGGGGTAGTAGGAGAGAAAGGAAAACTATTTTAATCGTGTTGAAATCTCACTGTGATAATTAAGGATTTAATGTCTTTGAGATTTGTTTATGGAGACTTACAGGTTCTTATTAAGACTATGAAATTTTCATCAGTAGTAGGTATATAGTTGAACAAAATTAGACCCATTTAGTTTGTTTCCCCAAATGTTTTTCCATTGATTTATTCCAGACTTCTTGAAAATGGTATGAATAACTAATAGATACTCAGTTTGATACATGTTAAGCTTATGCAGCCTGAAGAGAATTATCCTTTGTTTCTCCTTTAAAAACATAATCCTGTTGCTTTATGAAAACAACCAGCTTTGCAGTCCATTTCTAAATCAGCTGGTACCATCATCCATGCTGCTTGAAATACGTCTTTGAATCTAGACTCTTGATTTTTTTCAAAGTATTTCCTTTAAGTGACAGCCTTGCTCTGTGCCTCTGCTGTTTTCTTGATAGGTCAACACTTTGTGGTCTGGATTTTTATAATTTGCCCTCTTCACACACTCTTCTCTGTCACCTTATACCCTTGATAAAAATGTTTGCACAGCTGAGGCAAAGTAGAGTGGGTTGAATAGGGACTCAGAAGGAGCCATTTACAATTAATTTATATAGTAGCTGGCAGCTTTTTTGCAGAAGCTTAGGCCATCTGAGACTATAGTGAATAATAAAATATCCCTGGTGGATGTGAAGAAGACAACTGGGGCTGTTAAGAGTTACTTACTCTTAGGCTAATGTGGTCTTCTTGCCTTTAAGGATAGGTTTTATTGAATTTATTGAGAGTTTTGGAATGATAACTAATTTTATAATCTGATTTTATTAACTAAGAACTTACCTGATTTGGAAGAATGTGAGTTGTTTTCCATTTATTTAAGGTTCTTGGAATTTGTTACTGAAAGATGAAAAAGAGGAAAGTTTTCATTTGAATATGTTAGTGAAACAAAATCAGAAAGCTTCTTCCCCTTCCCTCAGAGTTGCAAGTAACCTGGTAGATGCTGTGTCTTTCGCATCTAACCTTTTCTGTAATTTGCAGGAAAGTGCGGATAGCCTTGCACATGAAGTGAGCTTGGCAGTGTTTCAGCTGGCTGGAGGAGTTGGAGAGAGACCCCAATCAGGTTTCTGAAGACTATTATATTCTTGAAAAACTGGATTTTTACAAAATAATAGTACTGCCATTATATTGACAAGTTCAAACATTTATAATCATGTTTACAGTGCATCTTACAGGAATGTTTCTAGATCTGATTGTTTTTCTCAAACACTACTAGAATAGTTCTTTAGAAATAGGTAAGCGTTATACTTGTTAAATTCAGTTTTTTAAAAATGAATCTTACCTCTAATTTCAATCTCACTAATGTAAAATATTGGGGCTTAAGTGTATGATTCAATCATTAACTTTATAATATATGCAGGGGAAAATTCATGAGGGCTGCTGGAAAATTAAATCTTATTTATTACCAACTCCTTTGTCTTTTCTATCCCTGTTACCTAACCAAGATGTCATTTTGCAGTCTTCACCACTGTTGATACAAATGGGGAGAGGGGAAAAGACTTTATACAACTAATTTTTCCACAGCATAGTCTTCAGAACGATTCTTAAATGACTTACCTCATGGAATAACATCACTAGGAAATCAGAGGTGTGAACACGGAGGCTGTATGTATGTCTCTACTCTGTCGTGAGGTTGAGATGCTCATCCTACACTTAGAGGATGCGCGGCCCAGGCTCAAAGACTTGTTACTCCTCTTAGTGAAGGTGTGTGGGAGAAAACTAATTGTAATATATTACCAAGCCTCTGACAGACTAAGTGACACCATTCTGATACTAGAATGTGGTTAATAATGGAAAGAAAAGAAATCCCCAACCAATCCAAATTAAACAAAGCCTGAAACCAATAGAAAAAAATGTGCAGTCTGTATTTTGCAGGTTTAAGACAACTCAGGACAATAAAACAATGGACTATATTATGTATATATAGATCTCTCTTAGGCACCATAATCATATGAGCCAACAGTATTTAAACTTGATTCAGGCCACATTCAGACATTTGCTCTTATTTACAAATATTTAAATTAAATACAACCTGAAATGTGTTGTTACATACAAAAAAAGAAAGAAACTATACAACTCAGAGCAATGTTTGTTTTAAATAATTACATTTACATTTAAACTAAATGGAACCACTTGTGGTGCTCAAGTTTTTATCACCCCTTCCAGAAAATCTTTTTCTACCATCTCTTCTATTTTTTGCCTGGCCTTGCTGGAAAATGGTTTGTTGTTTTCCAGTTTCATGTCCTTATTAGGGAAGGTGTTTGAGTGGAGGATGGGGCTCCCTGAGTGTCCTACACATCGGCTGGTGACTTTGCTGTTGAAGACTTGGCTGAGTACGTTGAAGAACGGCAGGAGCTGCTCAATACTGCGCACGGTGCAGATGGTGAGCAGCAAGTGCCCCGGCTCCCAACCCAACGTTCTCCCTGAGTTGTCTTCCTCTGGATTTTTCTGCAGAAAACACAAAGGGGATTGTTATTAACAGATCATGTCGTTCATGAGAAAACTTAAAAGGGCATAAACAGCAAACAGTTAAGAAATGAATACAAATGATGACATGAAGTCTCTATTCCAGACTTGACTCCTTGCTTCTACCTCTGAGGCCTTTTGGTGCCAGTAGAGTACCAATAAGTGTACATTGACGGTCTAACACTGTAGTAACATTTTCCAGCTAGAATGCACAAGTAAGCTTCGTTAGCAGAATTGGTTTTGGATAGAGGGAGTCAAATATTAAAAGTCTGCTGTGCTTTGTATATACTCAAAAAGCTCCCAGATTTCTGGACTCCTACTAATGTAACCAAGGACTAGGTCACAAAATGACTACAGAAGAAGAAAGGGTCTTACACATTCCACCATTAGTAAGTGGAATTAATTCCCTTTTAGCCATATGGCTTAAACTTGCCACAAGATGGTAGCAGGGTCCAAAGTGAATAATTACTGTCAGCACAGAGAAAAGAAAGGATCCCTCTGGGGAGACACTGCTGTCTGCTTCTGTGTTGTGCTAAACAACGTGGGGAGGAAAGCTGGACCTGGAGTCAAAATAACTGGTTAGTGTCCTGGCTCTCCATTTACTTACTGTGTGGCATCCTTGGGCAAGATACAGAACAGTTCCTGACTTACAAAATGGGGAAATGTAATCCATCTTGCAGCAGAGAAATCAAATGAGAATGTATCTGAAAACTCTGTCAACTAATTATAAATACAAGTAAAATAATTTGTGTACTAAGGCTAGTTTGAAAAGCCAACTAAATTATCCAAATAGTTGCAGACATCAGTCAAATTATTTAGAGAAACTTATGAGAGAACTGAAGATGTTTGAACTTGGACAGAATGATAGATATGAAAACACACTGAGTAGAGATCATGAAGACTGACAATGAACTGGATAGAAAAAGGAAAAAAAAATCATTAAGTGGGATTTAGGAAAAAGAATTACAATTTGTCATATTTGTTAACAAATGGAGTTTGCCTTCTAAGATCAGATGCTGCTGAGAAACTTGCACTGTTTACCTAATATTTTAATATCACTAGTTTCCTGGTGGAGAAAGCAGATGCAAAATCCAGCTTATTTTCTTGTGTGTGCTCACAAGGTTTGTTTGCTTATTTAAAAATAAAATCCTGAGCAAGGAAAGTAGATTTAAGTTAAAACAGAAGACTAGGAGCAAACAAGAGAAGATCTTCCAGTTCTTTATGGCCAAAAAAAAAAAAGGAAAAAGAAAAAATAAGAGCCATCACATAGTTTATTTCTTAGCAGTTATTTAGCCGCCAATCTAAATTATAGGCTATGGAAAACCATCTTCCTTTCTCAACTATAAACAATGGCTTTAATGACACTCATGGGGCTGACTTTCACATCACTCACTGACTACCATTAACTGACTGACCATACCGTCTTTAGTCCCCTAACTCAAACTGCACTTCAGTAGTAATTAAAGGATATACAGAAAGAAATTTATCCTGAAGGAAAATTTAGGATAATATGCTTGAACCCTCTACATAGCTAGTTTCCAAATGTACGAGAACTAAGGTGCAACCTTTTGTTTATATTCCTGTCGAGATGTACCTTCAAGAAAGGGACTTTGACTAAGCTCTGACCAAGAAGAGTACACTTGTTTCAGGGTTCTGCTCTTCTTAATCAGAACTGCACCAGCTCCTCAATAATAAAATTAAAAGGTCCAACATGTTTCCATACAAATGATTTCTCCTTTCGCTTCACCAATCTACACTTGAAGAAAGACTTCCTTCCTGTTTACCTCTCTTGTACTTGTTGCAATTCAGACCTGGGCTTGTGTCTCAATATTTGGTCCAGATGTGGCAAATGTTTCTGCTATATCACAAGCATCAAAAAGCCACCCTCACCTGATGCTTGGCCATCTCCAATCCCTCCAAAATCACTGTCTTAAAGTCCTCCTCCTTGTCCTGTGGAAGGAAAGAGGAGAACTCATAGCCTTTGTTCTAGTGGAAAGTACGCCTGGCCATGAAGACCTTGTTTCAGAGTGTGTTGGATGGGAAAATGCTTTCCAATCAAAACCTTTCTTATTCTGTGGGACAAGTTTTGGGCAAAAGACTCACATTTATCCCTTAGATAAGGGAGAAGTCTTATAAAAACGCTTATTACTAACGAGATGCAGGATGACAGAAAGTACATGTGCCTGGGGTCATATATAATCACATTGCTTCTGGATCTGTTGTCATGATTATTTCTTCAAACCCTGTGATTTCAAAGTGAAAGTACTCAAGACCTATCTTAAACTCTGGACCCAACTTTCATTTTCATCTCTGTCCTTTTACTTAGTCCCTAAGGAAACAAGTGGATTTTAAATCAAGTTCTTCATATCCTTATAGTATAACCTCCTTTTTAATTACTTTCCTCCATTCCATTTCTCCAGTTTATGGAATGTGGTTTAGAAGCTGCTGCCTGAATAGGGGACCCCAGAAGACTGGAAAATTTCTGAGCACTCAAAGCACATACTGTAAATTAGGACTCACAAAACAACCCAGGATCACCCCAAAATTGTACAGTTTATTTTTGAAATTTTTTGAATGCAAAAGATGATGAAAGATTTGTAACAAAGGCCCACTGATGAGTATGACAAATTCATTACTATTTGCTTGGACAAAGATCTCTAATTAATTAGCCTGATGCATACTGAAAGATATAAAGTACATGAGACATAAACATATTTTACAAATTTTATCTTCTTACACTTAACGAAAATAAATTAAAAATAAAAAGAATATAATACCTTTGCCCTTTTCCGAAGAAGTTTTGCTAGTCGTACTACATAAGGTTTAAATTCTCGTTGATGTATGCCCTGCCTTCTGACTTCCAAACCTGAATCATCTGAGGCTTCTGGAATAAAGGCCCATCGGTACCTATGTATAGAAGAAGGAATAACATTAGTAAGGCAGACTTTGTGCCATCTAGGACAAGACCACATAAACATAGAAAGATCATGACTCCGCCATTTATACAGATTCAAATGCCAGCTGGAGCCCCTTGTAGCCCTGTCAACTTGGGCTTGTTTCTTAACCTGAGCCTTTTCTTCATCAGTAAATATAGATACTATTAACTACCTCATAGGGTTGTAATGAGTAAATGAATATGTAAACTTGTGAAGGCCTCATCACTATTTTTTTCATGAGCACAAAGCCCGTAACTCAACAAAAGTTTCCATCCTCATTCGTTAATATGCAAAATCTCACCATATGTTTGGCCAAATGTCCCCTAACTACATAGTAAGGGGGCAAAGAACTGAAAGAATTCTTTCATGCCTTCCCTGTATTTTTGTTTTTATTTTTGTCTTTAATAAGTAAAATTAATATCTGACTATGGAAAAAATTCTAACAGTATAAAAGGGCATACCAAAGACAGGCAGTCTCTCTCCCACCATAGGATCCATTAATAGCGCCAGTTTCTTGTATATCCATACAGAGTTTATGCATATTCACACAACCACTCCCCTCCTCTTTACAACAAAACATGACTGCTGCTTGTTTTAACTATATATCTTGGAGATAATATCATATAAAACCCCATCCTTTTTAACAGCTACATAGTACTCCAGTGTTGGAAGGTACTGATTTAACCTGTCTCCTAGACTGTCCCCATTTCTTGCTATTAGAAATAGTGCCATAATGGATACCCTTATATAATGCTGATTTTGTGCACATCTGAGAGTATAGTGGTAGGATATAGCAAAATTACTGGCTTAAAGAGAATGTGTATTTTGAATTTTGGTAAATATAAATTCTTTGAAGAACAACTGGACAATATCAATGTACACTTCCAACAAAAATAAGAATGCTTGGGGGCCGGCCGGGTGGCATAGCAGTTAAGTGTGTGAGCTCCGCTTCGGTGGCCCGGGGTTTGCAGGTTTGGATCCCGGGCATGCACCGATGCACCGCTTGCCGGGCCATGCTGTGGCAGCATCCTATATAAAGTAGAGGAAGATGGGCATGGATGTTAGTCCAGGGCCAATCTTCCTCAGCAAAAAGAGGAGGATTGGCAACAGATGTTAGCTCAAGGGTAATCTTGCTCACAAAAATAAAAGAATAAGAATGCTTCTGTTATTAAGGGTAAAAGGAAATACACTTTTAGATCTTTACTATTCTGATGGTTATTTATAATTTTAATTAGAATTTCTCTTATGAGTATGGCTGAGCACCTTTTCCTATGTTGAGAAGCCATTCCTTTTCTATGATCTATTTATTAACTCTGTGTCATTGGCCCATTTTTCTATTGGGCTATCAATTTTTATATATTAGGCAAGTTAGATTTTTGTCCTATACACTACAAATATCTTTTTCCAACTCAATTGCTGTCTTTTAAACTTTATGGTATTTTTTAGTCACACAGAGACTTTGTAATTTGTATGTAGTTAAATTATCAAATATTTTGAACTTTTGAAATATATATCATGCTTAGAAAGATATTACTCTTTCAAGATTATTAAATTCTCCATGGTATCTTCCACTACTTTATAGATTTTTTTAAAAAGACATAGTAGTTTTTAAAAAACTTTAGTTAATATTACGGCATATTTCATCCCTTTTCTAGTAACTTTATCTTGACAAGAGGATCAACTCATTTTGTTTCTCATCACAGAAGCTAAAACGTCAATACCATGAGCATACTATACTCAACGTTCTTCCTAGAGCACTGAAGAGTATAGTTTCTATCACTTTTGTGAAGATAAGTATCCTAGTTAATTTTGGCCACTTTCCTACAATTCTGCTTAGTATCCTTTTCTGAATTTCTTCAGGAGTAACATCAGTTTAACAGACATCCAACCACTGAGATTCATCAAGAAGTAGATATGTATGGTTTTCAAATGGAAAATAAAAAAAAAAAAGGAACTGGAATTAATCTAAAAATAATTTCTAATTCTTTCCATTAAATTTAATGAAAAGTAAGCTTGTGAAACAGCAATTTTTGCAGATTTAAGCATGTTTAAATATAGAAAAAAGATTCTGGTATCTTACTCTTTATCCTATTAATATTCCATTCCGGAAGAAAAATATAACACAATATAATACATTATATAAACACATATTTGATCATGTGGATAAATTCTCAAATTGGCTACATTTTGATAAAACAATCTTATATAGTTTGCCTTTTATTTTAAAAATTTAAATATGAAAAACCATAATTAAATGTTTTTCAGCACTTAGGAACAAGGCATTGTGAGAATTTACTTATATTAATTTTCTCCCTATTCCCCCTGCCGTCTCTCTAATTCAGTTCACTATCATCTGAAATAAAACAGCCTGCTTGATTCCAGTCTTGCCCATCTCCTGTCCTTTCTCCAAACTATACAGGCAAAGTAAAATTTCTAAAATGCAAGCCTGATAACATCACTACATTCCTTAAAATGCTTCAGTGGCTTCCCACTGTCCTTAGGTTCAAGTCCAAATGCTCCAATACAGCTTATGAGGCCTTACATACTTGAGTCCCTTTGCAGCCTCTTCTCTCAACATCCTGCTCCAGCAATACTGATCTTTCAACACTTCCAACACACCAGCACCACTCTAACCTCTCAGTCTTCACACATGTGCCTCCCCCAACCCTCACTCTTTACCTCCTCAGCATAAAACTCCCCTCATGGCCTGCTCTGACTCTCAAAGCTAGGATGGGTCTCTGCTGTGTGGCCTCACAGCATCTGGCACATCAGCTGTCAGAACATCCATTGTATGTTTAACTATGTCTCCTACAGTGGACTTGAAGCTGGTGAGTCATGTACTCCACTGCCTCACATCCAGTGGGTACTCAATTTGTTGACTGAATGGTCTGTTAATCTTAATATCCATAGCACCATTTATTTCCAGTAACTATGTAGCCCCATCCCCCTACCGAAAGAATGACATGTTAATAAAAAAACTTTTAAATTAGTCTTAGATGTCAGTGACCAAAGCAAATGCATTTCAAAAATATCCATTTAATATCCTTGCTTTTACTTACATTTGAAACTGAGGAAGATTTTCGGAGGGCAATGCCAAAGCCAGGTCCAAAAATTTGCAAGCAGAGAGATAGAGGTTTAACCACCGCTGGCTGTTATATGAAGTAGAAAAGCCATTACCTCCTGTATAGGTTGTCTCCAGACCAGCCACAGAGGGGCCTGAAGTCCTGTAAGCGGGAGAGAGTGCTGTCAGCAACTGTACCTGTTTACTAACAGGTAATTCCTGGAACATCTCAAGGTGCCAGCGAATATTCTTCATAATCATTCTGGTAAGTGTACTAGTAATTACTAAGCAAGGTCATGACTAAAGTAATTTTGCTGTTCTCAAAAAATTCACTTTTGTTCTTTAAATTTTAAGAACATAAAAATAGTACAGAATAACTTGTGTTACACTCAAGAAATATAAAAATACAAGCTGTAAAACCAAGAGACCTTCCTACTACTCAATGTCCTTCTGCAAAGATGGGGGGGAAATTTCTATAATAATAAACAAAGTGATTAGTAGAGGGGACTGTTTTTTATAAACCTAGCACTGAAGAAGAAGAAAATATATTCAAGGCACATGGTCTTAAAGGAGCTTTTTAGTTTATAAACTTTTTGTCTAAAAATTCCTACATAAATAAAAATAAACTACATTTAGTCATACATTAATAAACTGTCTCTACTAAAAAGAATAAAATTATATAACAGATAAATCTGGAAGATCTGGACATACGGATACCTTAGTTATAGGTTACCTTAGTTATAGGTTATAATAGGTTTTGCTGCATGTTTCAGGGACAAGATCTGAACTACAAAAACCAAAATGGCTCATGGAGCTGAAACAGCATTATACTGCTTTAAACAAAATTTGTGCCTAAGAGGCCAAAGGCCATGAATACTGATAATTTAATCCAGTCTAAAATGCTTAAAGAGTAAGTGAAAATATATTATATCCAAATATGATCAGTTAAGATAATAAAAGGCTAAATATATAAAGTATGCAGATAAAACTGTTATCTATACTCTCCTAGCTGTAAAGTAACATTCTGGATGATTTTAGGATACTAAACACTGACAAGAATATGTTGAAATGAATTCCATATTACCGTGAGATGTCTTCATCAGCAGTGAGCTCCTGCTCCATCAGTAAAAATACCTGTACCTGAAGACCGTGGAATAAATGTTAAATGTTTATTTAAACTGGATATTTAATCCATCTTTCAAATATCTTTAGGCTATATTTTTCATTAATATAAAAACAAATTTTAGGATACAACTTCAGGATCTTTATACTTAGTTTCTGAAAATAAAACTGCAAATTTAGCACAGAGCCTTACTAATCAATTGGCAGAGTTGAGATGAAGGTATGCTTTTGTCTTTGGCGATTATGGAACAGAGTTACAGTTATTAAAAAAAGGAAAACTATTAAAGCCAATTTCTTTGTGGGGAAATTATAAATGCTAGGTTTCCAGAGTTATAGATTCTTTTCCCTTTCTTTTCTCATCTCCCTTTCCCCAACTCCCCAAATCACTCAGACGAGGGTGACAGGGTATGGTTTAGGAAGGGGCATGGATTAGTGCAGTGGGACTTGGGAAGGTTTTATTGTTTGAGAGTTTACAAAATCTTTATGAAAGTCTCTCGGAAGCAAGCTTAACTGGCATAAGTGCTGCACTTGAAGAGTGAGTACATGCTTTATGTCAGTCCTTTCAAATCCAGCTAATCACTCTAGAGGTTCTGCTATAGGTGAGAACCAGGCCTGGCAGCCACGACAAAGTTAACAATTTGGTGTAGAAGAGACTGAATTAAACCAGATCAGACAAAGTAATGATTCACAAGGAGCTAATATTTGGAACGTTATGTATTTGGAAGTTTAAGCTGTCTGGAGATGGACTGTGACTTGTTTTACTATTTTCAATTATAAAAATTGTCAGCAACAGTCTTAGAGTTCAGTTCTCTTCCAATATTAATTTTTATCCAGTAAGTACATTGTTTTATAATTTAGATTTATAACTTGATTGAATTAAAATTAACTCACGAGTTCTGTAATCATGGTAGGCCAGAGCGAGGTAAGATGTTGTGGAGACATTCTTAAAAGTAACACTCTGAAAAACAGGAACACTTGAGAGTGAAGAGTTGGCACCTGGGGCAAACGGAGACTCTCAACCAATCTCTCTGAAAGAAATGTAGTATATTTTCAATCTCTAAATAATTAATTATTTTAATATAAAGTTTTCTATATAATCTAGTCCTTCTCAAACTGTCTTTGGTGAAGGAACAACTTTTAAAAAAATTTTCAATCTGCTGCAGATTGATACTTCTGTAAAATATAATAAAAATGGATTACTAGAAAAATCAAATTAAAGAAAGATATATAAAATACAAATACTACTTTATTACTAGATTCAAGAGATTCTGTCAAATTTCTATAAAAGTTTAAAATGCTTACATTAAATTTCTGTACTTATCATGGATGGGGTAACAGACTGGTACTGGTCCATGGACCACTCTTTAGAGTAGCACTTACCCAACTTAAAAAAAAAAAATCACGGGACAAATAGTGTGCATGCTATATATCTGACAAGTATAAAGGGTTAGTAAAGAGGGAGTCACTTATCTTCTGAGAGAGAAAAATAATCTCACTGAAGAGATGACAACTGTCATTCCCAACCCAGTCCCCATGTTGGCTGCTGAGGCTGGAGGCTGCACAAGCACAGACTAGAGCAGCAAGCAGCAAACAATTCTGCCCCAGGGCAAGTTCATCCCCACTGTGGAGCTATTTGGTGGCACAGGCTGATGAGTGCACTGATATCCTTTAGGACACTGAGGGCCACCAAACCCATTTGATGAAAGTTATCAAAAACCTTATACACTCCTCCACCCTGGCCCCAGACTATGAACCTCCAAATGTTCCTTCTAGCCAAAATTTCCTGGCTCTGCCTATATTTTGGTTCTCTCCTTAAAGGTATATAATCCTCTATCCAAAACAGAAAAATAACAGTAACATGCCTGCCTGCAGCAAAATAGTCTTATACCTCATCCTCAAACATGAATTCCTAGGAAATTTGAACCAAACAATAAAATAGACACCACATTTAGGCAAGCTCTACAAACTCAAAGTTTGATTTCTTTTATGTACTGGTGATGATAATTGTTTCAGTAGAACAAATTTTTAATTCTACAACCTTCTCCATCTACCTACACTTGGTATATTTCACCCCAACTTACAACTTAAGGAAAGTATTTTCTAAGGAACAAAATAACCCCTATAGTCTGGAAGATACAGAAAACAGTTTTTCACTATTTACCTTGTATATCTGGAAGATATTTCTGGTACTGGTCAATTTCACTGCTAAAAATAGCAAATGCTAATCTTTTGAGAAGCATGGCTCTCTGTTCTAGTTCCACATCACGGTTTGCAAAGAGATTAAGTGAACTGCTTTGAGCCACAGCTACACGAGCTAAAAGAAGCAAGCGAGAGAGGTTGATACAGTCATCCAGTCATTTGGAAAAAGATTATTCTGTTATCTGTTTTTAAAAATGGCTAGATAGCCCACCACATCCAAGAGTGAGGAACTTTGGGTAGAGGACTTGGGGCTCCTCCCTGGGGCAGAAGGACCAACCAACAGATGAGGCATACACAAGCCAGAAGAGCAAGGGGTAGGAATTGTGATGTAGAGAGAGAGAAAAATTTAGAACTGTAGGTTTCAGAAGGTAAATACTAACAGTGCCATTTTATAAAACCCTTTAATATTTTATGCCATCTGCCTAAATCCTTCTCATTGCTTTAAAAATAATTTCTGGCCTGGCCTACCTAGCTCTCCTTCCTTGTGTCTTGCCCGTCACCCTCAGCTTGCTCTTCTGCAGCCACACTGTCTTGTTTGCTGTTCCCTGAACTCACCAAGCTTGTTCCCACTCCAAGACCTTTATAATTTTTGTTCACTTTGCCTAGAATACTCTGTCCCTAGGCCTTCTCACGGTTGGCTTCTTTAGTTTCACCTCAAATGTGAGCTCTTTAGCTATAATTTAAAATCTATCGCATCGCCCTATTTCCTTCACAACTTCTTACTCCCTCAAATACTGTTATTTATTTGATTAATGTTAGCATAATGCCTGGCCCATTTTTGTCTTTTAATAAATATTTGCTGAATGGATGAATCTGAACCTTAAAACAACTCTGTGAAGATTAGAGGAGAGAGAAAATTTGCCAGATGGAGGAACTGCAGCTTGTGTTAAAGAACTTACACAGAATCATATAGACTCACCCAACTTCACTGCTATTTAAGGTCATTAGTTTAATAACTTTCAAACTTAAAAAAAAAAAAAAAAATCAAGAAAACCTTTTTTTCCCCCACAAAAACTACTAAGAGGAACCCTAATGTATAAAACCAATCAAGATGCGGGGGGGGCGGGGGGGCGGCGGGGCGTGGTGGAGAGTGATTCTCTTTCTTCCTTCAGAGGAGATAAAAGAGCCCCAGGATTTAGAGTGACTTGTCCCATAGGTTGGATCCAACTGCCTGCCTTGCCCTGCCTCCCCACCTGTTAGTCTTTCATTTGTTCAACAATCACTTATTGAGTGCTTACTATGTGCCAGGTTTTATGCTGTGTGCTGAGGAAACAATTTAGAGACAAATTAGACATGGCCAAAAAGTTTTACTTATTATTTACCATTATGTTGTCCTCTTTAACTTTTAACATTATATTCTTATAGAGTACTAAGTATAATCTGACAAAGAGCTAATTCAGTAGTTTCTAGAAAAGAGCAAAGTAAATAACAAGAATGGATCATGTACAGGAAAGACACGGCTTAGGGTGTCATCCTACAATACTCACTCATCAAATCTCTAAATGTTGTCTTATCATGTGTCATCAGGTTGTCCATAATTGCTCTCCAACTGAAAGAGACAAGGATTATGATATGTAATTAAGATGTTGTTGTTATTGTTAGAAAACAGTGTTCTACTTTGCAGGATAGTAGTTGATTTCAACAGACTTTGTGAGATGCATTATCATGTTAAATAAAAGCAAGATAACAACTTACTGATTAACACAAGAGGCATCCATCTGAAAGAAACTGGGATCCATAAAGAGGTCAAAGGCTTCTTTCTTCCAAGCTCTCCGAGTGTACTGATACCCGCTAAGACTGCTAAGCAGCTGGACACAGGCTCTATAACTAGGGGCATTATGTGCACTAGGAGGAAGCAAAACCATCTTAACCTCTAAGTTATAATTTTAATTATCATTAAGTTATTTGTAAGTGTTCACATTTACCTAAAATAAAGATAGGAAACAGAAAGCACCATAAGAGAAATAATGCGTTTTTTTCTTTAATCATTATAATTCAAGATAAAAATAATGTCATTTTGTGGTAATTCCAAAAATGGCAATAATGGAACACAATTTGTTTCTAACAGGCTATGAATTAACTAAGTAATCTACTTAAATGATAATAGTACCTGTGATTTCGGAGGTAGGGCACAACATAATGCATAATATTTACAAGTAAAGGAATAACCCGTTCTTTTTCATCACTATAGAAAACCATATCCAAAAGATGAGCCAAAACCTAAAAAACATAAGAAATGAAATGGAGTATAATCTAAGAGCTAAAAGTGACAGTATTCAGAGATGGTTTTCAGTCTTTAAGAAAACCTAGAATACTTTAAATTTAGAAAAATCGAAAATCAGATCTCTCTAAGCCATTTTTATATGAATGATTTCTGCCACTATTTGCTTTTTCGTCCATTATAACTATAGGATATAAATATGGGTAAATTTTATGATTTCTAACCGAGATAGAGAAGTATCGAAAAAGAGAGGACAAGAACCTTCTAATGTGACAGTGAGTAAACAGCAAATTTAAGACTCGAAACTAGTCAAATCATGTGCCGCATAACGACACTTTGGTCAGTGATGGACCGCATTTACGATGGTGGTCCCATAGGTTAGTACTATATAGCCTAGGTGTGTAGTAGGCTATACCATCTAGGCTTGTGTAAGTACACTCTATGATGTTCACACAACAAAGAAATCGCCTAACAATGCATTTCTGAGAACTTATCCCCCATCGTTAAGCAACGCATAACTGTATTCTCTTTCCCTGACTTGGTTAAAAAGGGGCTTAGGAAAAAACCAACCAAATGAACTGAGCTGCTCAAGTCCCCACTCTGTCAATTAATAGCTATTTGGCCTTAGTTATACTGTTCTAATCTTTGTGAGACTCAGTATCCACATCTGAAAGGGGGAAACTAAAATGACCTGCAAGGTGTATAATAGGGTACAAAAAAGAGCATGTCAGAAGATGTATATAAAAATGTTTGGTAAACCATAAAATACTTGATAGTGGCAAGCATCATTACACTACTTCCACCCTTGCCTACCATACTATGATACAAAAGCACCTATGTTTTTAAAAAAAAGTACACAAAAATAATAGTGCATGGGGAGGTGAGCAATATCTAAAGTTATTATCACTAATATTTAACAAACTAATCCAAAGTCAAAACTTTGTTTATTCTATATAGTGATTTCTAGAAGTACAAAATGGTTTTTCAAATTAAGAATTCCTCTGTAATCTTTAATTGTGATCTTTAATCTTTAATTGTGAAACTGTTTACTTCAAAGTTCATGTAAAAAAACTTGATAATATTTACCTCAGAAAGTAACGTCAGTGCATGGACACTATATACAGAAGGAGTTATGTTTGAGGTTTCCATTGCAGGTGATAACATATCTAAATTAAATAACAGAAAAGACAGGTAAAGATACAGTTAGGTCTTTTCCCAATGGAAAAAGCTGCCCACTAAACATGAGAAAAGGGATGATTTTATGGTACTTACAGTGCTAGCTATAATGATTTCTTAGTGAATATAGGCCTACAAATATAAACTCAAATGTTTGAGATCAGTACCTTCAACATCAGATTCCAAATTGGTTCCATCCACCATTATTTTGGGAGACGGCTTAACTTCAAGATTCCGCCGAAGCCATGTTGTCTGTTCCAAAGAAGAACCAGCAATTGCACCAATTGCATCCACTATTTTATGAGTCACATCCTAAAGAAACAAGGAAAAACCACTAGATATGTATGTATACACATATACATACACACAAAACTTCACAGATGATCTTATTTGACCTTCTCGTTTTAGAGTTGAGAGCACTGAGGAACACAGAGTTTTGGCAACAGCCCTCAATTCATAATGCCTTACCTGAAGGTCTCTTTGGTCTTTTTTATTTTCCAGACTAGGGTTTTTCATAATAAACTCATTCAGAACCCTAAAAGGGCCAAAGATAAAAACAAACAAGAAATATTAGTCTAAAGAAATAAAATGATGCAATCTAATTTCTCACAGTGAGCAAGTGGCTTTGTGGCCTCAATTTCTATTTTATATGTTTAATGAATATATATGGATATCATATGACTCAGTTGAAATGATAAACACATGCATAAAAAGACATGTACAAGGATGGTTATAACGGCATTATTCGTAAAAGTGAAAAACTACAAACAATCCAAATGTCCAGCAACAGAAGAGATAAATTGTGGTATATTCATACGGTGAAATACTAAACAGCAATGAAAATAAATTATAGCTATGTGAAATTACATGAATGAATCTTACAAACATATGTTGTGTGAAAGAAGCAGACACAAAATAAAATATGTATACTTATAGCTCAAAAACAAGGCAAAATTTATCTGTGGTGTCAGAAGTCAGAATAGGGTTTATCTCGGGGGGGAAGGGAAAGGACAATAATTAGGAGGGGATCTGAGGAGACATAGTGTTTTATTTCTTAATTTAGGTTTGAGACTATAACTTGTGGAGTTGTGTACTAATTATTTGTATGTTTTTCTGTATGTGTTTTATACATCAAAAAAAAGTTTAAAAAAACCCCACCATCTTAAATTGTAACAGAGAAATGGTTTCTTACCATGTGTATGTATATATATATAATAGATTAAAAATACTTCATGAATGAAAAATAATTTCTATTTCCATTATTTGCTAAAATTATACTCAATATTTACCTTGACTTGATTTTATTAAGATAAATTATATGCATAATTATTTCCAAACTAATATATAAAGTGATATTGAAGAGCAATCTTCATATCATTTTCTACTTTGTAATTAGGAATTTTTAGAGGATCAGTGGAATGGTAAAAAAATTAAAAAAATAAACCACCAGAAATTTAAAAAGGGAATTAAGTTTCTAGTATAACTGAAAACGTCCAAGTTTTTGTTTAAACACTCAATCAGAGTACACACACATTGAGAAGGAGGTTGGATCCTTCATGACCTGAGAAATGAGAACGGAAGAAAAGGTTGGTGAGGAGACAGTAAAATCTTGTGAGGGAGAAGCTACAAGTCACAACAGATGGCCTTCATTTTTAATGAAATTAGCCAGCAGGGGTATTTGGTGATGATTCAAAGAACTGTACCTTTACAGCTCTTTGAGTCTTAAAACAATTTAAGGTAGACAGGGCAGACACTAATATCTTGCTTGACAGATGGGAGAATAGCCTTGGAGAGGTTTATTGACGTACAGATTAGAAGATGAGAATCAGAAATCTTCATGAGAACATTGCTTGATTTCCAGTATTGACATTTATCTCTTATCACTAAAAATTATACACACTATTTATCTTAATCTTTGATCCAAGAATTGCAGACATTGAGTTCACTGCTCTTTTCATTACATGTTCAATGTCTAAAACTCCTTCAGCTTTTTGACTTGGAAATAGATAGCATGAAGGTCGAGGGATCATCATGATCCCTGAAATTCTCGAGCAGGATCTCTAGCTCACTTTGGCTGGGCTGGGCCCTCAGGGTTATTCAGCTACTACAGGGTGACCCACTCTCCTCAAGTTCTCACTACTGTCCCTCTACCTCTCTCTGCTTCCTGTCAGAAGACAACATTCGCACATTCACCAGAAAACTTGAGGCCATCTTACTGAAGAACACTCACCTTCCCTCCTCTCCACTTCAAAATTTTCTAGACCACTGGTTGCCAAACCAGAATTGCTAGTTCGCTTAAGGATAATAAAGGTAGAAGCTAAGTTTATGTCTATACAACCACACAACTACATGTATAAAATCACCGTCAGCATTATAGAGGTTGACTAAAAGGTCAAAGTTCTTTGCACGTGGTTGAATTTGTATTCATTCACTGTGATAACATGGTTACTGTCACTGGCTACTGATGAAATCACTGGACTATCTGAGGTAACGTAAAAAGGCTGGGGAAAAGTTTACTCTGTTCCTTTTCCTTTCCCCCTTCTGTTGTAAGCAGTCCTTTTCAAACTTTAGTGTGTACTTAAATCACTTGGGGATTTTGTTAAAATTTAGATTCTGATTCAAGTGGTCTGAGGTGGAGCCTGAGAGTCTACATTTCTAACAAGCTCCCAGATGATTCCAGTGCTGCTCGTTGAAGGATCAACTTTTGAGTAGCAAAGTCTTACAGAAAATGCATCCTTCTTTTTTCACTCTTACACCTGCCATTCCCTGTTCTCCATCCCCTCCCAGCTGACTTTGGAATCTTTCTCACTTGCTGATATTTCCTTTTCTGTCTCCTTTGCTGGCCCCTCTTCCTTCTTCGTCCTGTTCTTTCAATCCCATCGTCAGTAGTTCACACACTCCCTAGCTCCCACTTGAAACAGAATTCCCAGTCCATCCTCTTTCCGTTCTGATCCATCCTCCTTGCCAGTCATGTCCCTCCTCAACACTGGCAATCACTCCCACCCTAAGACCAAATTTCTTAAACTGAAATGCAAAATCCTTCCCCATCTAGCTCCCATCTCCCTTCTCATTCACCCAACATTCCATTGCTGTGCCTTACTCTATAACCAAACCAGACAAGGTACCTTGTGCCAGTATACCCTGCCCCTTCCTGTCTCCACAAAGGCTTTCTGCTCCTACCACCTCCATTCACTGAGCAAGTATTTACTGTGAATCAAGAATAACGGAGAGCAAAAACAGACACTGTCCATGACACCATGGTGCTTGCAGTTAAGTAAGGGTGACTGGAATTTATCAAACAAATCATATAAATTATTAACATAGATCAGGAGACTCCAAGACACAGAAGGAAAATGACTTTTCCAAGCCTATTTACGTTCAGGGCCCTGAACTCAAATGACCTTCCCCTATGAAGTTCCCCTTCAGCTATCCTACTCATCCCCTCCCCTGTTAACCCCACATTCTCTCCTCACTAAGTAATTACTTGTTTAACCATTTTATGTTAGCATGTTTACATTTTGTATATGTATAAACACACATTGTTTCCTCCCCATCGCTCTCCCTTTTTATAGGCCTCATATTATACATCTAGTTCTATACCTTGAGAATCCTATAAGAAGGTAGCAAGATCACACGGTCACCTGAAACATCTGTTATTCGGCAATTAGGACAATGAACATTATTCTTTTCCTTGAAATAATATTTTTAAGTGAAATTGCTTACCCAAGTATCAGAAACTGCCCTGGGGCTGGAAGACTCAGTTGTATTGAGTCTTTGAGAAGTATCAACAGTGATGCCCAGCTGTCCACTAAATTGGGCACTGGAATTCTGCAAGATAAATATAGTTTGCATATATACATAAAGCCACAGTAAACTTTAATTTTCTTTTTATTTTCCCACAGTCTTTAACACATTTTCCTACTAGTTTCTCTGAAACATTCTCTAAATTTTTATAGACTATGATAGAACAAAATTCCCAAAAGCTTTATGTTTTCTACTAATATTATATAAAAAGAAAACAAACACATTTAAAATACCCAGTGTGATTAGTCTAGAAATTTTGCTACAGAACTCCCAGTTTTTAATTGCAGGAACTCTCAAAAGTAAAATACAACTGCAATAAATTTCAGTTTAATTACTGACATCATAGTCACCTAGTCCCTATCCTATTCTCTCTACCTCTCTCTTACGTTAGCTCTTTTTCCTTCACCTACGAGTCTCTATCTCACCTAAGGGAGAGCTGTTAATCTATCCTGAACATCAGTCTCTCACCTCTAGAGAAATTAAGATTACCTTTGTTTCAGTCTGACCTTAACCTGAACACCTCTATGTATCTAAGTTCAGATTTAAGCAGTCTTTGCTTTAAGTCACAAGCAGTTTAAACATACTACATAACCTAACTTTATAAATGTTAGTCATAGATCACAAACTGATGCCAAGTTTGGTGATTAAAATGGAATTACCCTAAAGGGAGGATTAAGATTCAGGTTCTCCAGTAAAAAGTTTATCAAAACTCAAATCAGGAGCTGGCCTGGTGGTGTAGTGGTTAAGTTCACGCACTCCGCTTCGGTGGCCCAGGGTTCGCAGGTTTGGATGCCAGGCACGGACCTATGCACTGCTTATCAAGCCATGCTATGGCAGGCGTCCCACATATAAAGTAGAGGAAGATGGGTATGGATGTTAGCCCAGGGCCAATCTTCCTCAGCAAAAAGAGGAGGACTGGCAACAGATGTTAGCTCAGGTCTAATCTTCCTCACACACAAAAAAAACAACAAACCAAACCAAACCAAACTCAAATCAACTAAGTTCTGATAGGGGTCAACTAAACACAAAACTGGAATACCATAACAAGGAGATATTTTCCTATCATCATTCCTAACATTAAAAAAAAAGAAAAAAGAGAGGGCTGGCCTGGTGGCACAGCGGTTAAGTGTGTGTGCTCCACTTTGGCGGCCCAGGGTTCGCAGGTTTGGATCCCGGGCACGCACTGACGCATTGCTTGTCAGGCCATGCTGTGGCGGCGTTCCATAGAAAGGAGAGGAAGATGGGCACGGATGTTAGCCCAGGGCCAATCTTCCTCAGCAGAAAGAGGAGGATTGGCATTGGATGTTAGCTCAGGGCTAGTCCTTTTCACACACAAAAAAAATCAGGGGGCCAGCCCCTTGGTGTAGTAGTTAAGTTCAGTGCCCTCTGCTTTGGTGGCCCGGGTTCACAGGCTCAGATCCCAGGCGCGGACCTATACCACTTGTCAGCCATGCTGTGGTGGTGACCCACATATAAAATAGAGGAAGACTGGCACAGGTGTTAGCTCAGGGCTAATCTTTCTCAATCGAAAAAAGAGGAAGACTGGCAATGGATGTTAGCTCTGTGTGAATCTTCCTCAGGGGGCAAAAGGAAAATCAGATTAGGTTACCACATGTTCACCAATATCAAAATAATAATAGATTCAGTGGCAATACACATGGTTTCAAGAGTAGAATTCAGCTTTTCATTTATATTTAAAAAATTTTCTTACAATTCAGTGTTTTAATATCCAGTGTATTTTTAATATACTTAGGTCTTTAGGTTTGTAGGATTTGCATGGCTGGGTCATTAAGATACCCAATGACTAGTATTAATATATAATAAACAATGTTGCTCTGTTTCTAGCATTTGTTCTTTTAATTTTAGGGGGGAAAATATGAACTTCTTGAAAGAATTCAGGTGCTTTTCTCCTATATTTCTTAAATTTTATACATTGCTAATGCAGTAAGGAGAGATCCACATCAGTTGTCTTACCTTTGAATATAAGCATAGAAAAACTGAAGCATGCAGACTTCCAAAGAAAGATGTTTCTATAAACAAAAGAAATCAATTTTACCGTGAAGAAAAATGCTGCCTTTGCTTTTTCATTGTTGCAACTACTCTGTATTTTACTGCCAATTTTTAATTAAAAAAAAGAGAAAAAAATCAAACATGAGTTTGTCATAAAAACCATGCAGCTCTCTTCCATTTAGCAGGGAAAACTCAACACAAGAGCCAGAAGTTGAAAATGGATGGAAGGAATTAGAAGATCCTCAATTCCTCCCTGCCCCTCCCCCCATATCAAAAGTTGATACTCCAGCCATTACTTTCAAATGATCCATTTACTCTATAAGCATCAAAATTAGTTTTATTTTAATCAGCTTATGCTTGGTTGGTGCTATCAGAATTAGGTTGAGATTTTTTTATAAAATGTGAATTTAAATCTATTTTACCACACATTTCTGTTAATCAGTGTAGTTAGTTCAAATTTGGGACCAACTCCTAATAGCTAAAATGTAGTCTTTAAAGACAGTGCTGAGGGTAACATACAAGAAAAAGAAAACACCTGCCCTTAGAAACTAGTAATAGGCTAGACTAGAAAATGATACTGATGTCCATTGACATTTACCAATTTGTTCCTTTTTAGTACCAACTATTCCCTTGAAGGTTTCCCCTTTTACCACACAGAGAAAAGTCAAGTATCTTATGGATACAGAACTTAGTAGATTGAGGCACAGGGACAGCAATTGGGGGGTGGAGGTGGAATTTACTCTTCTTTGTTTTCACAGCCTTCACACTTAGTCCAATATCTGGCACAAGTAGATGCTCAAAATATTATGCTGAATTGAGGTTTCACATGTGAATTTAAAATTCTATCACAAATGCCCCAGAGGTGATTTCAAAATAGCAAGGAAATTATTAAAAAGTTAATAAAGACACTGGTTATTCATACATGCAAGCACACTCTTCCCATTGGCAATTCAAGGAAAAGATAAAAGAAAAAATAATTCAACATTTTCAGAGACGTGTAATAATTCTTTTAAGAATGTAATTAGGTCTATTTTGGCTTGGCTTAAAGACTAATGTTTGCAATTGGTAAATATTTTCCAAGAAAATATGACCTCTTATTGCTGGAACAAAGAGCAAAAAAAGTAGGTAAGTCCATGATTTTACTAATTTGTAGACTTTTATGTTTGCCTAATTAGAGACAGTACACTGTGAATGCAGAGACGATTATGAATTTTCTGCAGTCCTTGCAAAGCACAGTCTTGTACAGAGTCAAGAAATGACACGGACTAGAACTAAGGTTATGGCAAAACATAGGGAGTTTACAGAACTGAGAGATTCATTCTCAAGAGAAAGTAATAAAGAAGCTGTGAAAAAGCCAACAACTGAGGTAAGCACACCTTGAGCTCTGGCTTCTGTGTTCTTCCTTTAAATGGCGAGAAAAACTTTCCCTAATTTGGTCCCACGGCTCTTGACTGCTTTAGGTGTACACAGAGAGATGAGCAGTGAACTGCTCTTCACTGGCTACAGGAAGTCACTGCAGATATTGAGCACTGTTTTCACTATGGTAGTGTGAGGGCCACGTGCACTCATCTCTCAAATACGTACTATAGTTAAAAGGACATTATTGTACAAAAAATAACTTACCTACCAGCATCACTTCTAAAATAGAATTGCAAAGAAAAGCGTTTCTTACCTTGTCCTTGGCTATGGCTGGAGGCTGCTTTAAAACTTCTTTCACAGTCTGTATAACAGTTTCTGCTCTCATGACACTGATTGAGCGAACCAGTTCTACCAGTAAAAGCTGTTCTTCACTGGCTGCTGGAATGACCTGGATAACACATCACTGTATTTACATATGTATGTGTGTACATAGTCTTTTAAGAGAAATCACAGAATTATGAGACTATTTTATGGCCTCTTCTTAATATAAAGGACTTTTTTTTCCAAGTCCCTTGATTACTTTAGGTAAAATTTATTTTTTTTTAATCAATATAATACATTTATATCATTTCAAAAAATCAAATAGGACAATAAGCCTGATAAGACAAAATAGCAGTGCCCTAGCCCTTCTTATGCCCCAGAGTAACCATTCCCAACTCTTAGCTCTTTTCTATTATTTCTGAATAATACACATTGCTATTATTTTTTCCTTTCATGACTTTTTTTTTCAATTTTAGACATTATCTACTGACTTCCTAACTTAATTTTTTTTTTTAATTTTTTAAATTTATTTATTTATTTTTCCCCCAAAGCCCCAGTAGATAGTTGTATGTCATAGCTGCACATCCTTCTAGTTGCTGTATGTGGGACGCGGCCTCAGCATGGCCGGAGAAGCGGTGCGTAGGTGCGCGCCCGGGATCCGAACCCTGGCCGCCAGTAGCAGAGCGCACGCACTTAACCGCTAAGCCACGGGGCCGGCCCTGACTTCCTAACTTTAGAAGACAAAAATTTAGCTCTCTTATACTTTTCTCCCTATCGTCCCAACATCATAATATCATAATTTTATTTAAATCAACACCCAGTGTTCACATGACTATTTATTGTTGTGCTGTGTATTGTACTATCATTGCATTTCTCTTCCTGTACAACTTTTGTTTTTCCTAGTGTTAAACTACTTTTTCTTTTTGTTAGCTTGGTTCTCTCTATCACAAATGCATCCCAAATGCTCCAACAACTGTAAATCTCCCCTAATACATATTCAAATACATCAGGTAATTAACATTCTCCCTTCTTCTCCTCTTTTTTTTTTTTTTTGAGACATCTGTTCAATGTCTTTCTGTTCTACCCTGGCTTAGTACTCTCTAGGCTTGCTACACAGTATCATCTTGATCTCTCTCCTATGACCACTGGCCTAGAGATTCCATTTCCTTTTCTTCTGTGTTGGAACCCCTCTTTCTTGGATCTCATGTCTTCTTCCTTTTTGGTTTATTCCTCCTCTGGTAGAGATGCATCTTCCAGTAGCTGAGAAAGGGTGAATTGATGGTTTTTTTTTTTTTTTGAGACATTGCATGGTTCAAAAATGCCTTGAGTGACAGTTTGGCTGAGTACAGAAATATAGGTTGAAACTAATTTTCCCATCACAATTTCCAGTGTTACTATAGACAAATCTTATCATTATTTCACTGAATAGGACCAGTATTTTCTCTTTAGATTTTCAGATCTCCTCTTTATCTCCAGTGTTCTGAAATTACATGCTGATCTTTGTGTAGTCATTTTCACAGTGCCTGTGGAAACTCATTTCTGGGAAATTTTCTTGTATTATTACTGTGATATTTTTCTCCCCTCATTTTTTCTGTTCTTTCTGCAAAAGATACGGGCATATCTCGGAGATACTGCAGCTTCAGTCCCAGACAACTGCAGTAAAGTGAATATGGCAATAAAGCGAGTCACACGAAGTTTTCAGTTTCCCAGTGCATATAAATGTTATGTTTATACTATATTGTAGTCTATTAAGTGTGCAATAGCATAAAAAAATAATGTACATATCTTAATTAAAAAATACTTTATTGCTAAAACATATTATCATCTGAGCCTTCAGCAAGTTGTAATCTTTCTGCTGGTGGAGAGTCTTGTAAAAATGCAGGATCTGCAAAGTGCAATGAAAAGAAGTATGCCCATATTGAGCCTCCAGTATCACTCTCCTATTTTCCATTACTTTACATTTATGTTCTATTTCTGATATTTATCAACTTTCTCTTTCAACGTTTATACCGTTTTTGTTTTGCTTCTGCTATAAAATTTTTAATATCCAAGAAGAATTTTAATTTTTGCAATGGTCTTTCTTATAATCTCCTCTTATTTCACGGATGCAATATGGTTTCACTTCTTGAAAGCCATCACTATTATTATTTACATTTTCTTCTGTTACCTGTATTGTTTCTTTTGAATTTTTTTGCCTCGTTGTTTTGGTATTTGTCTTTTATATTAGAGGCCTTCTTCATGTGACTGGTAATCCTTGTCTCTCTATTCATATTTAAATGTAAGGAATAATAATATAGCTAATATTTGCAGAGTGCTTATTAAGTGCCAGGCATTGCTCTAAGTGTCATATATATGGTTTTTATTAGTCCTGTTGATTTTGATTCCTAGCAACCCTGTGCACAGCAGAGTGGAACCCTGCCCAGTCTTTTTGTGCCTTCCTCTCATCTTCTGGCACTCTATTGGATAATGTTCCACTGCTATTCATAGGGTTTTCACGGCCAATTTTTTTGGAAGTGGGTGGCCAGGTCCTTCTTAGTTTGGAAGCTCCGCTGAAACCTGTCCACCATGGGTGACCCTGCTGGTATGTGAAATACGGGTGGCACAGCTTTCAGCACACAGCCGCCACACTATGACAGATGACAGATGGGTGGTGTGTTTCCCTGACCAGGAAACACACCCAGGCCACGGTGATGACAGTGTATACATATATATTCTTCTAATTCTCACAACCAACCCCACGAAGTAGTATTTCTACCCTGAAGTCATATAGCTAGTGAGTGGAGAAGTCAGGATTTGAAGCTCAAGGATCTAGTTTCAAAGTCTGTGCTCTTAACAACTATGTTGTGATTGTCTTTCAAAAAGAAATTAAAAAGTGATGGGAATTCAAGCATTTTTGTGCAAGACTAATGGATAGGTGGGCCTCCCTGTGTGGTCATAGCAGCCCCGTTTTTTTGTTAGGGGACTCAAAAACTTCAGCAGCTATAGGTCTTTTTTCTTGGTCAGGTCATCTTCCTAGAGAGGAATCCTCAAAACTCCTACCTGAGGGACATATATCCTCTTGCCATCTCACTGGGGTGAAGTTGATTCTCATTTTTCAGTTTGTAGACTTTTCCTGAATGCTCTTGTTTTCAGCATGAAGTCTAACTTCTACCTGTGAGAATCTTGTGCCCTTGAGTCCACAGCCTCTCTTGACAAACTCTTCATAGAGTAAACTTGACTCCAGTCTCCTGCTGGGGTAGGGTAGGAGAAGTGGGTGGTTGCTTGGGTTGGGGAAAAGGGATCTAGAAGGGGTCTACCCGCTCCTTACATAAACTTTCAATGAATCTTCCAGATTTCAGCCCCATCCTAACCCTTTGCCTTTAAAAGTACCTGATACTCTACTCCCCAAGACCGCCTGTGGTTTTATAGCAGGAATTGGTCCCCTTCTTGCAGGCTATTAGATATCAGCTTTCTCTACTAAGTCAGTTACAACTCAGACATGTGTTTTTCATCTCGCAAAATTCTGTTAACACTTCTTATTTTTCTGTGGTCACCACTCCCAATGTTTGTCACTGTGGGTTTATACCTTTTTAAATTCCTTTATTCTCATTTTTGGGAAGACAGCAGAGCAAAATGCATGGGTTCAATATGCCATGTTAACCACATGTCCTTGACTGCTTTTAAATAGTCCAGGATTTCACTTCTGTCTAATGTAATGCCTACTACTAAATCCTCACAAGCAAAATAATGTCATATAAGTAGGAATGTTTACGTTTATTATTTTAGAAATTTCAGCATATATGTAATGTGAAATCAGCTCAGAAATAACAGATCAGAAACCCTTAGCTAGATAAATCATACATTTTGTGTGAATGTAAATTTAATAGCCTTAATATTCTCAGTCACTATTTCCAATATGGAACACCTTTTTTGAACTGTTAAAAGTCACAAAACAACAAAATTTTCACATATAATCCAGTCAAAACCAATATATAAATTACATTTAAAAACGAACTATTTAAGCTATCACGTCATAATGAAAAACTAGTCAAGATGAAAACTTCTCTCCATATCCTTGTTTGGTACCTTGAATGACTAGCATTTAAAAAATACACAGTACTATATTACCATTTCTATTTAAAATACAGCTACAGTTTTAATATCATACTAATTTCTTTTTTCACATAGAATAATACCTTTTGTGCTTTAGAAATTTAAGCAACAAGAATTATCTAGAATTGTAGACAAACTGTTGCTTTTCCACTACCCATCCCATCCCTGCCCCACTGCAACTAAGGGAGAACTGAAAATCAGCATGTACTTACCAAATGCTCACCAAGTGAAAAAACAAAAAGTACCAAATGGTTAAATACATACTTTGGTCCTGGTGGTGGTTTTGTTCTGTTTTCTTTCATTCCATACAAACGCAATGGCAGCCATAAAGTGAACACCATGATTCATTGAAATCGGGCCCAATAATTCAAGAATCTGCTGTCTCAAGTTCTAAAGCAATTTAAGCAAACGACACACGAATTAAAAATTATGAAAGCATTAATAACTAGACTGCATTTTCAGGTTTTCTTGAAATAATATATAGTACTTATATGTTTTACTACCTAAATAATAGTACAGGAAACTTTTTTTTTTTTTAATAATTTTATTTATTTATTTTGTTTCCCCCAAAGCCCCAGTAGATAGTTGTATGTCACACTGCACATCCTTCTAGTTGGTGTATGTGGGACTTGGCCTCAGCATGGCCGGAGAAGCGGTGTGTCGGTGCACGCGCAGGATCCAAACCTGGGCCGCCAGCAGTGGAGCGTGCGCACTTAACCGCTAAGCCACGGGGCCGGCCCCCAGGAAACTTTAATAGTGTTGAGAGATGCAACCATGGTCATTTTAATTCCAAGAGAAAAAAAAAAACCTATAAAATGACAACTACAATCAGCCAAATGCAAGAGTCTGTTTACTTGAGATAATAAAAAAACACAATATAAGAAATTCAATGACATTTGATGTAGATTCTTAAAAAAGGGGGGGGGCAGGAGTTGTTTTATATTTAAGTGAAATTAAACAACAAAAAAGCATAGTTTAATCCAAATATCAGTACTTAGACAAAATTTTATAACGCTTCTAACCCTTCCCCTTTTCCCAATTCTAGGTGTGTTCCCATGACTCCCAGACCTAGACAGGCAGGTCTAGGAGTAAGGTCAGGTAATTGAGGGAAGTCAATTTGACAACTGACATAGCATAACATACTTTTAAATATTCATGTAATTTTCCTCTAATATAAAGTAGAAAATGTGGAAAATACCCGAGTATAAGGAAGAAAAAAATTTTTTAAATCAATCTTTAATCCCATCATCCTGAGATAATCACTGTTAACACATCAACTTTACTTTGTTTCTGCAGATAAATTTTTTTACATAATTGGAAAAACAATATTTGTTAAATTGTGTAATACCCGTTTCACTTAAACTTTCAAGCACTTTTCCACCAAGAATTCTTCAAAACCATGATTATCAGTGGCTACATATTGTAACACTGAAAGGATAACTTATTTAACCATTTCCTTATTTATAGTTGAGGATCTCTCTTTTTGCCATTAAATAGGGCTATAATGAATATCTTATAAATATATATTTGCATAATTTTGATTACTTTAGAATTCATTACTAAAGTAGATTACTAGGTCAAAGACTATGAAACTTTTAAAGCTCTCTGTATATACTGTTCAACTGTTTTCTAGGAGGGTTTTGCATATTAAATGTCAACTTAAAAAAAGGAACAAAGCTATACATGTATGAATGAACCTCAAAAACATTATGTCACATGAAAGAAGCTAGATACAAAAGACCAAATAATGTATGATTCCATTTATATGAAATGGCCAGAAAAAGCAAATCTGTATGTAGAGAAAACAGATTAATGGTTGATTGTGGTTAGGGATGGGAACAGGGAGTGATTGCAAAGGGGCACTAGGAACCTTTTTGTGGTGATAGACATGTCTGAAAATTAGATTGTGCTGATAGTTTCACTCTGTAAATTTACTAGAAAAAAAATCTTTGTATTGTACATAGGTGAATTTTGTGATATGTCATATCTCAATAAAACGGTTAAAATTATTTGATGATTAATTATTCAATCCATGCAGAGTGCCATAAATAGTACTCAAATTATTCACAAATTCTGAATATAGTCTTTCGGAAAGTGCTCGAATAGACTCTTGAGCTCCACATGTGAAGTGCGAACGTTTACCTTTGTGGCTCCAAGATTAATAGTGGTAATAGACGCAGACGCAGCAATAGTCATCTTTTCTGAAGAATCAGCCTGATGCAGTATGCTCCAAAGCAATGTCACAGAGGACATAATCATATGAAGAATTGAGAGGATTCCACTGCGGGCTTCAAACAAGTGTTTTTGGTCTACACTGACCAAAAGCTATTAAAGTCAGGAGAAAAAAACATCATCACTTACTGAAGTTTACAAGTGGGGACTCATTAGACCTCACAGTCTTTAAAAAGGAGTAAAATATTTGTGCAGTCTTACTTGGTGATACTGTGTAGTAGGATCCAACAAACAGTAATGGATAATGGCTGTAATCCCTTCTAAAAGGGTAAGAATCATATCTGGTGGAATAATTGATGCTATCCACAGAGGCCTGAAATAAAATGCATTCATTTGAACAGAAGCTCTGTGAAAGAAAAGTTCATGTTTTACTGATAGTAAATATCCAGCATGTGGTAGGCACACAGTAAGTGCTCAGTAAATATTATATGAATAAATAACTAAAAGAATAAATTAGGAGCTTTTATATCCTATAAAATAAGTGAGTTGCATTAAATGCACTAAAGTTCTTTCTGGCTAAAAAATTCTATACAAAATAAACAAATATAGCCAGTAAATCTCTAGTAACTGCATGATGGCAGCATATCAATATTAAATAACATAGGCAGTTTTCTTATATTTCACATATAGCAGCTGAGGTTATAGAGGAGATAACCAGACACTAGTTTATGAAACACCTGGCTAATTTTTGACAAATTTTGAATGTCACCTGGAGATACAGGTGGAATTTACTACCAAACCATGAAAATCCAAAACAAGAAATAAAATCAGATGGGAAAAGAATTATTTGTAATTTTAAAATAATTTTAGTGTGAAATTAATTTGCACTTAGATAACATATCAGATAAACCTAGGACAGCTCTTTGCTGAACTTTCTATTACTTTTGCCAGCTCAGTCAAGAAGAGCATCAGAATTAATTTCAGCCCTTAGGAGAAAAAAGGCCTCTTTAAATATTCCTTCTTCTTTTCCATTCTTGATTCTTTTATTGATACTCCTCAAGCTGAATTTTCTTCTTTGTGAAAATAACATAGTATTTGTAACCTACTGATAACCACTAATTTATTTATTCAAATTGTGACTTTCTGGATGATTAAGCAATCATATATGTGAAAAATGTCAATGATAAAGTTAAAAATCAAAACTTACCTACTATCAGATAATCCTGTTTCATATTTGTACTGCTGAATTAGGTTATCCAAATTTCTGCAAAGTTGTAGGGTTACAGAAACAACCACTCTCTGTAGAACCTTTCCCATGTAAGGCAGAGTAGATGTGATTAAACCAATCCACTGTGGGTGCATCTTACAAGCACAGTGTTGATGTAAAGCTCGTATCACTGCACAGAGGAACATGCCTTGACATGTGATTGGCTGAGCGTGCAAATACTGAAGAGAAGTCATGGGCTGATGGGGACTGATGTGTTCCAGATCAGATACAACAAAATCAAAACCTGTTTCATTCTCTTCAGGGACAGTCATTACCCGGTGTTCTAGAACAATGAGCCTCTGAAGCACTTTCAGAAGTTGTGACTGGAGTGTGCTGCCATTGTCAAATTCATCCTCTGAGAAATTGATAAGGCTGTCCTCTGAGAAACCTTCTTCCACAGCAACCACATTCTTACCTGCCACTTTTTCACTGTGCCATTTCTGTGCACTAAAGATAGATGACAGCAAACAGTGAAGAATAACTTTCTGAACTTTGCACTTAGATAACATATCGGAGATAAAACTAGGGAAACCCTTTGCCGAGCTTTCTATTACTTTTGCCAGCTCAGTAAAGAGGAGTGTCAAAATTTCTATGCTCATCATCTGCATGTTTCGATTGCCTATTAAATCTTGTGCAGTGACCTTGACATGAGTTGGGTAATGGCTACGCATGTAATACAAGCAGAGGGAAATTAGAATTTCTATGTACATAGAACTCCGAAAGTTATGATTTGAGTCCACTGGAATGTGACTATAAAAGTCTTTGCCCATAACAGAAATCCGGTGTCTGGCCAATAGATTCTGAAGCAGAGACAACTGAGGGGTATATGCATTATTTACACTAGTGGTCGAAATGGCATTTACAAAAGCAATAGGGTTAGTTTTCAAGATGGCTCTGATGGCAGAAAAAGCATACAGAGTCCTTGATGAATCATACAACTGGAGATACAGAAGCACATGTTGATAGAGAGGATGGATGTTGAAGTTGGGAGATTTCCGCGACCCTGGAGAACCCATGTCACTCTCAATTTCAGAAATTTCTCCCTCTCCACAGCTATACCAGTTCTCTAAATCCAGACCATCACTAAAGAATACACTGGTTTGTTTGAGTTTTTCATTTGAAGTTTTTTTCTTGTCATCATCCTTTTTTCTGGCAAGTTTTACTTTAGGTTTTGCTCCTGGTTGTTTACCTGACTCCTTAACAATTGTTTCTTTCTCTGAGACTCTTTCTGATAATTTTTCTTTGAAGCTGAACTGAATACTACTATGACTCCTCTGTCTAGATTTGGTTTCTGTGGAAGCAACCGAAGAGTCGTGGAGATGCTGTGTGGTTCCTGAAATACAAGGTGAGGAGCTATTTCTGGAGATTCCATTTGCCACGCACTCATGGCCTCCCTCCGCAGACAGAGACAGAAACTGAGAATTTTCATTACTCAGCGAAGCACTCTGACTCTGCTGAGTGAACTGATCTTCACTTTTAGTCGCCTCCTCACCTGGAGCTACATCATTGTGTGTTGGGGGCATAGCTTCAGTTTCTAACTGAGATGTAACTGATGCCGATTCTGCTTCAAGGCCACTTACAACTTTACATATCAGGTCAGACACTACCTGCTGAACATCATCATCTGGGGAGTCTGCATTTGGCATCTGGGATTCCTCTTGGACATTTATATTTTCAGGATCAACTTCATAACTCAAGTTGTCCCCAGCAGAGGACTGTGAACACCCAGAGTCAGAACTCTGAAGTATTTCAATCGGTTGGTCTGGAAGATCAAAATCAGATACAACCATTGGAATCGTCTCACTGCTGGTACTTAGAAGGGAAAGTCTGTCACTTAATGGATTAACAGTGAGACTAAAGTTCTCTATTTCATCCATGGAGAGCGGCTTTTCACCATTTCCTTTAGATGCAATGAGATGTACTTGGCTTACTGGCATAGTAAAGAAGGAAAAATATAAAATATATTAAAATAATTGAAATGTAGAAACGTAGCCTGAACTCAAGATCTTTAATCATTAGTTTCATCACCTACTTATATTTTCCTATTAAAATTATATTTTAATTTATTACTATTTAGACCTTTTAAGTTAGAAAATTATGTAGATAACTATTAACTAGAATTTAATAAAGACAATTCAACAATAGAAGGCCTATTATTCAACTGAATTAAACATAATAGCACATTTAACACAAATAAAATATAAAAATTTGTCCTAATCCCCAAACAAGATATCCTTTCTACTACAATTCAAAATTTTAGTGTTTTTTTCCTCCCTGTGTGATATTTCCCTTCAGTTATGCTGTTTCTAAGAATTCAAATAGTTTATATATAGTTAATGTATAAATACATAACCTCCTTGATTTTAATAAAATTCAACAAACATTTATGAATTATGTAGTACGAGTAAGGCCCCAAACCAGGAGGAGACAATGAGGGTGAGAGAAGGAAAAGACATCATTGTTCTCTCTAAGGAGTTTAAAATTAGTAGGGGATCACAAATACACTCCTCTGTTTTTATACTTTTTGGGGGGCATACTATGCTGATGGCATTCTTTAGAAAGGGTGGAAGGCTTAGTTCCATACAAGCAGTACAAACCAAATGTTATCAAATTCAGGGAAAGCCTCATGATACCACAGGTGAGGTCTAAGACTGATCTCAAAGGAGAAGTGAGAATTCAGCAGACAGGCAGAAACTGTGGCAGGTAAAGCACTAACAAAGAAGTTAGCAACAAGCAGGGGAGAGCATGTTCTTAGAAGGTTCAGGGGAAGGAGTGGGAAGGAAGCTAGAGAAAGGAACCAAGGCTCTGTAGAAACACACTAAAAATGAAGCAGGAGCACAATGGTTTAGTTCCAGTTTCATCATTTACCAGTCATGGGACTTGGAGAAAGCCACAGCCTTCTAAGCATCAGCTCCCTGCTTGGTAAAATGACCTTTTTATTACTGATGTCATAGGGTTATTTGTCAAGAGATACAAATGAGATATAGGAGAGTCTTTTCTCCCTAAAGCATAATAAATTAATCTAATATAAGGGGCCATTATCACTGTATTATAGAGGGCATCACTCAACAGTTTGTAAAGTGTGGATTTCATAGTAATAACAGTGAATATTTATCAAACACTTACCATATGCCAGTCACTGCACTAAGCATGTCACAAACATGACAATATCTAATGTTCACAATGAAGTTTTGAGAGGTGGGTATTATTATTATTCCCATTTTACAGATGAGAAAAATGACTCATGAAATATAAATACGCATTATAAGCTTACTATAAATTCCCATAAAGTATCTACAGAGCCTTGTAGGATCAGGACTGCCAAATAAACTCTAAAGGTATTTTCATCAAAATTGAAGAATGTCTCTGACCAGAGCTGTGCTGATTCCTCCCTGAAAGAGTCAACTGATAAGAGAGATCCAAGTTCTCTGAGATGGTCACTGACGAAGTACATCCTGACATGGCCTACATGAGCACTGCTAGTGCATGAGGAGGGGAGAAGATAAGCCCAAGGAGAAAATCTCACATTTAATTCTCCCGCCAATCACTGTTGGGTTCACCTCTCACTTTATTTTAATAACTTAATTCTAAATAAAGCTGTTCTACTTCCATATGATATTCACCATTGCTGCATGCATAATTTTGCGTGAAATGCTTGTCACTCTCTTCTCCAGGATAACAGGGAGCCTTATTCCAATAACGTTCTGCTTGTACACGCTGCACTGAAACCCTCTGAGTTTTTGGATGAAGCAGGAGCAACAGCAATGGTTCCAAAACTCTTGCAATATCATGTCTTTGTAGGACTTGGTTCAGCCAGGCTTGTCCCACAGAGCTAGTAGAACCATCGAGACTGTTAAGGCTATCTAACATGATGAACAGTGACCTACAATAAACACCAATAATTAAAACAAAGAACAAAACACCTACTTTAATTGTAACACACTAATTTTTCTAAAATTAACATTATTATATGTTGTGTTTCTTATTTTGAATTAACTACATAAAACTGATTATACTTTAGGATAACGTTTAACCATAGCATTTTAATAATCTTAATCTCTACAGTCGCAGTAGATACGATGAGAAAGGAGAAAACAGTCTTTTTTTCTCTTTTCTTATATACTTGTGTTTTTTGAAATTTCACAAGCACACATTACTTTTATAAGATAATAAAGAATAGAAAAAAAAAAAAACTTCGAGACTTAGTCTTGTTTTAGCAACATATTCCTGTTCAAATCACCAAATATTGCACCCCTTGCAAGTCAACACTATTTCCATGATGGTCCATACTCCTCTGCTCCCATTCTCTTTATGAGTCACAACTTTGTACTTAATTCAAGGAAAGACCTTCTGTAAAAGGTATGGAGGTATGGTTTGGAATCAGAAAACTCAAGAGTCAATTCCGGGCCATCCCCTGTACCTCATGTGTGGTCTTGGGCAAATCACTTAACTTTTCAGGGCCTTCAGTGCCTCACAGGTATGATAAGGAAAGGTGGTCGTCAAATTAGAGATGGTATTTGTAAAGTTCCTAGGCCTACGGCCTAGTTCATTGTAGAGGTTCAAGAGCAGATCATTTAAAAATGGTGATGCTGCTGGAAAAGCACCAGCTGAAATAACATCTAGTACAGCACACATTTGATCCTGAGCTGGGCTTTAAGCATAGTTAGATTTGTGGCCACCTCTATGAGAGCTGCTGGTGAGACTGCTATCTTATGCCAATATATAAATCTACCTATAAATGGTATCTCCTTGGAAGTTAATGCAAATCTCTTATTTGGGTTATGAGTCATCTAAGTAGTCTAGACAAACAGCAAAACCACTCTCAGGCAGCTACAGTTCTTTGAATCCACGGAAGGGGTTTGCCAGTATTTTAGCTGTAGATTTTAGTAAGTCTAGTTCAGGCAGAAGATTGAGAACAACTGCTAGAGAAACACTTAATACAATCTACTGTTTATATGCAATTTCACTGAGTGTGAATATAGACTCGAGAAGCTTATAGCCATTGCTGTATCCCTGACACCTAGAATGGCATCTGCCACATAGTAGGGGCTTAATGAATAGTCGTCCAATGAAAGGAAGGGGCACTGGGTGCTCTAGAGCTAGAAAGGGAAGATCTGGTAGATAAATGAAATCTGGTAGCTAAATGAAAATGTCATGAATTTTAATATAGCTTAGATTTTCAACAGTAATTTATAAATTCTATTTATAAAATTTGTAAATTGCTATTGCCTGCCCCTGCCAAACTAACCAGAAGATTTAAGAAAAGAGACATTAAGATATTTGACTGTAAAATCTGAATATAAAATGTAACCAACCTGTCAAAAGAACGTGCAAAAGATGAAGACTTATTTATATGAAGGTCCCTTGTTAGATGCCAAAGAACTGCAAACTTTGCATGTGCTTCCATCCTTATTTTCTGAGGAGGAATATGAGAGATTAAATTATTTTATTCTCCCTTGAAGATATTAAGTGATTTCAATAAAATCAAAGTAGCCATTTAAGAGAGAGTATTATGTTCAATGTTCACAGTACTCCAATACACACTGCAATAAACTTATTTTTTTATGGATGTAGAAATGTAGAAAATACTTATATACAGAAATATTAAACCTAAAGAATCATCTCATGCTGCCTCATAAATAATTATTATTTAGTTTAGACTAGGTAATCACTTTACCAGATTATTATATAACAGGGGATGGAACGAGTTAATAATGTGCATGTAATGATATCTTGAGACTAGGAAGCACTTTCCCCCTCATTTTAACATAAATACTTAGTAGTCAAAGTTGATTTTACTGCACTATATAATTTACTTTTGTTTCCAGAAATTATACATTAATCCCAAATGAATTTATCATCACTTATAAAGCTGATTTTTAGATTAAAAAATTTAAACATCTAAAAAATTATTTCTACAAAAAGAATATTACACCACTTCTGGGATTATCTGGAGAATATTAAGTGTTAAAGCAACAATGAATATAACAATGCAAAAATAAATTATTTAGAAAGACCAGCATTTGGTATTAGATAATGAACATGTATTAATCACAATTTCTACTTGATTTATATTATCACAGTTTTTATAGTCTTTCTTTATAGACTATCCTTCAAGTAAAAGTCCCCCAAAATCAGGGATTCCAACTGTCTAAATTGCTTGTGATAGGTCAGAGAAGTGTTTGCTTTTTTGTGAGCTTAATAAATGCTTTTCCTACGACGCCTATGTGTGTACGTCAACCAACACAAACATGTAAAAATAAAAGTAAGTAATAACAGGTATTTTAATTTTTTCATGGATGTATAATATCTTTATTCAGAACTTAATATTTCTTTACAAATAAAATGTTACACAAGTAAACAGTATATAATTTGTCCTAGACTTATTCTTAATGTAAAACAAATTATTAAATTAAAATACAAGGCTTTATTTAAAATTTTATTTCTGAACAATTTTGAAAGAAAGTGTTAAAGCAGAAATAGAATTTTAATATTTTACTTGGAATAAACTTTTCATTCTTCTCATTTACTCCTTCATTTGCCACTTCCTCCCTTGCCAAATGCTTCATTTACTCACCACAATGCCTTTTTGAATATGACCGATTCAAACTCACTAGCATTTAGAATTTTTTAAAATTGGGGCAGTCCACTTTTAAAAGCTGATCAATAAAATCTTAAATTTATATTACAGAACAGGCACAGGAAGACCACAAACTTCATTAAGTTACCCTGAAGAGGTCAATCAGAATGATTGCTCTAGCTTCTCAGGCCCACTCATAACTTAGCCATCTTTACTCTGACTATGTTTCACTTCCTCCACATTAGGATACAAAATCCTTATTTTGGATATTTACTATAACGCAAATAATATAATCTCACATACTACCATCCTATAGCTTATAAATGTAACTTAACACACATTATTTCATCTCCCATATAGTATTAGTTAATGTATTCATCAGTTTCATCATTGAGGCCACTGATTCCTCTTTAAATGACCCAAGAACTTGGACCAGCAACAACTTTAATTATCACTACCTATAACTGGTGTCCTGAACCACGAAACAAACCCAGCATTTGATTCTGGGTTACTTGATTTTTCATATTACTGATGTTTTTGTAAAGAACTTTCCTCTAAAAAGAATAGAACACATTTATTTTAAAGATATTAAGATCCCTCCGAATGAAGCTATATTACCTCTTATTTAGATACTAGCTACAATCATTCTCCTGGAGTTTCCTTAATTTACCTTTTGGTATAATGGGAGCGATGGTGGGGGGAGGGCACAGGATAAGAAGAGACAAATTTACCTTATCTTTATGGGTTAACTGCTGACTTATAACATCCTCACAGATGCTAGAAGAAGGAACCAAGTTATGTAATTGATAAAACAGTTCCACACTCTTTTGGTGGTGCTGAGGTGTCCCATCTCCCAGCTGGTCCCACAGTGTTAAAGCTACATGCTATAGAAAAAGATATAAAAGTAACAGTGTTACAAAACCATAAACAAAAATTTATTTAGCAAACATTTCCTATTAGGTATAAACAAGTCTCTGAATGCCAGACCTGGAAGGTCTTTGATACTCATTATGCCACCAGGATGAGATTTAAAAGTGTAGCTTTCCATTGCCCCACTTTCTGGTCATCCAGGCCCTTAGAATCTCTTATGACAGCCCTTGATGGATATTTATTTTAAACATCAGACATGTAAGCAATTTCTGCAGGGCTAAGATAAGACCCCATTTCACTATTTTAGTGATATTTAGTAAAGTGATGTTAGAATACATTATCCTTAAGAGGATATAAATTCCACATTGAATGCAATTTAATATTTATGGTTATATGTTGCAAAGTGAAATATAATTCACAGTCCAAATATCCAAACTACTTAAGACATACAAAACAGGTCGTATGTATTTCAGAGCTTACATGTGTTAACATAGCACGTAATGATCTATGACAGCATTAATAAAAACACAACAATTTTCAGGGTTTACCACCACAATGTTATAGAAATCAACTCTAATCTAGCAGAAGGAACTATCTGGAGGGGCACAATGACCTGAAATCAGATTTAAAAAATTTTTATTTTTTATGTATACAGAATCTACCTGCTTAAGATGTAACACAATCCAAATATACTCGATCTTCTTTCTATATAGAGAATATCAACTATACCGTTGTGATAGAAATTAAAGACTGTGCATTTTTTTCTGAATGATATCATACACCACAGATGATAATCACACAATATAGAGTCAGAAAAGCTTTTGCTGGGAGTTTTGGAGAGCTGAAGTTATACTCTATGAAAAGCAAAAATGTCACAATCACTTCATCCGGAAATAAGTTTTACTGTATAAATGAGCTTTCCTGTTTTTTAGCTAAAATTATTTCTTCCATGGCTTTGGTGCCTTAATATTTGCCTTTCTTTACCCTAATACTCCCCTCATCCTTATCTTTTTTCTTCTCACAAAACTGAGGACAAGATGGGCAAAGCAGTACAGATCAAGTGTGGTATCTTTTTCTATATGATATATTAACAGGTGATCAATTAAGCCTGATTATCATCTTTAAAATCTCTGCTAAGCAAACTAGGTCAAGTATCATCTTAGTCATGTGTATATTTCTTAGAATTTACCTTGAAAAATTCCGTCTTCTCAGCTATGTACCTCAGATTGCCTGGAGTGAGGGGAGGTCTAATAACCACAGCTACTCTTCCCTGGTTTGGACTTAAGGGTTGTGCAGGCTCCACACTGTTGATGTTTTCCCCAGTGACCATGGCCACAGACTGAGTCAATGCCACCAGGTCCATGACTAGTGAAACAGCAACGCTCTGCACACTGAAATCACCTGCTTGGCTGCAAGCATTCATCAGAGTGTGGAGCCACAGCGGAGGCTGCACATGCTCCCAGTCTGAAACAAGAGATGGAAGACGACAGAGGTCACCACGCTAAAGCTTTCACACACACTTCAACTTCCAAGGTAATTTCAAAAAACAAACCTCCCCAACTTAATTCCTTTAGGCTTCATTTTTTAACAAAACCATGGTTTCTCACCTGTAGTTTTAAGAAAATGAAACAGCAACAAGAATTTCATAAACTTTTTTAATATGTATTTTTCTTATGCCAAGTCGTACAATCTATTTTTCTGTTCATAAAGACAGTATATTAATCAAACATTATGTGGTACTCACTGCACTGTGTGTGTGTATAATAAAAATTTAAATAAAGGTAAACACATATGATACTAGTCGAAATAAGGAAACCAATGGATCTAAATGTTATATTACTTTTCTTCAGAGAAAGGAGTTAATTTCTTTCTTAGCTTCTCTTTACTCACTTGCAAGCAAACTGTGAAAGATATCAAAATCACAAAATTTTCTAACATTTTAATCTCCTCATAATGACAATATTTCATTTAAAAAACCTACAAATTAAAGTAACACTTTTAAAAATTAACGTTAAAAAAAATCCAGTTTTAATATGAGTGCTTCTTAAAAAACAAAAAAAGCATGTCATAGAAAATATTTAAATATAAATAAAACAGAGATGACCTTACCAGTCTCTGATTTTTCAGAATGTAACTCTGTGGTATGGTTCCCCTCAGCAATGTAAACCGGGAAACTCGAGCACTCCAAAAAGAGCTGACAGGCAGCAAGGAAGGCTGAAAGGTATTCTTTTGAAGCTTTTTGTTTACTTATATTTCTCTCTTTTACATCTCCATGTGAATCCCTGTCCCATTTTGAAGTCTCTCCTTGCTCTCCACTGAGATCCCCTTGATGCTCTGGAGCCAAAGCCTGAGAAAAAGAGTTACTCTGAATGATGTAGAGGTTGATAAGTCTGGTGAGAAACTGTTGGACATACTCCAAGCAGCACTGCATTGCGGTCTTTTGGGCTGTCTTCCCACTTCGGGGTGCTGCCCCCTGAGTGACTGTGGAAGGGGGCTGGATGATGGTTTCTTCGGATCCCACAGTGGAGGCTGTTTCTGTCTCAGAGGATGTGCTACCAATTGGGATGCCAGCTGCCCCCTGTCCCTCACTCAGTTCTCTGTCAATATCATCAGGTCGCTCTGCTTGGTACTGTATAAACTCAGTGAACCCACTCTCTGATGATCGACTACTAGGTGGATTTTCTCCATCTTCAAACACTTCTGTAGGATTTTCAAGAGAAACTGATGATACCTGGTAGAGATTAAAAAGAGCAAAAGGCTGAGTAGCTAAATGTATATATTGGGAATTAAAAATTAGAAATGGCCACGTTTTGAGAGAAGTCAGTTTTAGATTACACTATTCACAACTTAGTCTACATATTCAGTTGAATCTTAAAATAGTTTCTACAATTGATTCATATGTCTACGATAATGAACAGGAGGAAATATAATATGGTTCTAATGAATATATTAATATAAAGTCATTCACTAAGTATTTATTATTCACTACATGCATACCATAAGGTTAGATTCTTGAGGGCAAAATTTGTGTAGGTACAAATCTCTAGGATCTATACCCTTGTTTTCAAATGACTAACAGTTTATTCAATCTACTTCATGAAATCACTTTCCTAATGTCTAAACAATGTAATTTTCCTAATGTCTAAATAATGCAAGGAACGAGACACATAAGGTTAAAAAAAAAAAAAAAGACATTTTAAAAACTAGAAATAAAATCTAATAGGTCATCCATTCAGGAACACATGAATGTAAAATTTCTGTCTTCAATGAGCAAAGTACTATTTTAGATGTTTGCTATTAATCTTACATTCATTCAGTGAACAGCTACTGAACCCACATTATATGCCAGACACTATATTAGGTACTAGGAATAAAAGGAATAGTTTATAATCTAGAGGAAAGCTAAGAGACAACTAATTACAATATAAACAGAAAGTGAAGTGGCTACTGAAGTAGAGCTGGAATTGATTAACTGTTCCTTCCCGAAATGATAGGATGAGTACAATCATCAAGCATATTTTCTGGCTCAATGAAGTAAACAAAAGTTGTACATATCATGAACTCCTTGTGTGATTGTGCCAGAGCATAATTTGAATTTGAATAAGATCATTAAAAAGAGATCCTTCTGAAGATACACACTAAATTCTCTGCTGCCACAAAGCTGGGCCTCACCCAATGTTCCTTGCTTTAGTGAATCATACCACCATTCATCAAATCAGGGAGACAGAAACCTAAGCAGTGATTCTTGGTACCTTCTCCACTTCTCCTTCACACTTCCCCTACATTCACTTCAGTATAGTGGTTAAGGGTGCTGGCCATGAGTCAGCTAAGGCTCTGCCACTTACTAGCTTGGCAAGTTATTTAACCTCTCCAAACCTCAGTTTCCTAATCTGTATAATTAAGATGACGATAATTCCTACATTTTACAGTTGCTATGAGGATTAAGTAAGACAGTATATATAAAGCACCTGAGATAGTACCTGACACTTAGTAAACATTCAATAAATGTTAGTGATCACCCATTACCCTTACCAATGCATTACTATGCCTTATTGATTTTTTTCTTCCTAAATCTATGGCTAATCCATCCATTTCTCTCTGTCTTCACTCCCCCATCTTTTTTTTTTTTTTTTTTAAAGATTTTATTTATTTATTTTTTCCCCCCAAAGCCCCAGTAGATAGTTGTGTGTCATAGCTGCACATCCTTCTAGTTGCTGTATGTGGGACGCGGCCTCAGCATGGCCGGAGAAGCAGCGCGTCGGTGCGAGCCCGGGATCCGAACCCGGGTCGCCAGCAGTGGAGCGCGCTCACTTAACCACCAAGCCACGGGGCCGGCCGACACTCCCCCATCTTGTTAGCACGTTACCACCACCTCTCACCTGCACTACTGCAGGTCTCCCCACATCCATTTTTGTTTCTCAGATCCGTACTCCACACTGCAGCCAGAATAATTTTTCTAATACACAAATCTGATTGTCACTTGCCTTTTTCCCTTGCTTCTAAGGGAAAAAGGTCTTCCCATTGCTCCTAAGATAAAGAATAAAAGCCTTAGTACAGTGAAAAGGCTCTGTAAGACCTGGCCCCTGCCTACCTCGACAGCCGCATCTCCCCCTCACTGCCTGCACAGCACTCCTTTCTGCCTAAGAGCCTTTGCAAATGCTCTTTCTTCTGTCAAGTGCTCTCTTCTTCCTACCTCACCCCTACCTCAATTCCTGTAGGGCTTCATTCAAACAATCCTTCCTCAAAAAAGCCTTCTTTGGCCCCTAATATAGGTTAGATCACCCCATTTTCCACATTCCTACCACTCTATATTTTCCTTCGTACATTTATCACAACTATACTTAAATGTGCAATTATTTGTTTAATGTCTGTCTCCCAACTTGAAAGAAAGGGTTGAGAAGAGCAGAGACTGCCTACTTCACCCTCTGGATACTCAGTGCTTTACATAGAATGGGTGCTGAATGAAGAGAGGTTGCTTTCTCTATTTCAAAGGTAAGAAAACTGAGGCTCAGGGAAGTTAAAAAAAAAAAACAAACTTGCCCAAGGTTATAGCAAATAAGCTTAGTAGTTAGTAGAAAGCTCAGACTAGGTAATTCTAAACTTCATGCTGTTTTTACCATAGCATATCAACTATATCTATAACAGTATGAGAACTTTTCATATTATAATGCCAAAGTTTAGAGGTGGCTATCAGTTTGAACTTAATTGTCAATTTTTCTCTTTTGAAAGGTTAACAATCATCCAAAATCTTGTATTAACACATTTTCAAAAGAAGTCTTGGGGCTGGCCCGGTGGCATAGTGGTTGAGTTTGCATGCTCTGCTTCGGCAGCCCCGGGGTTCGCAGGTTTGGATCCTGGGTGTGGACCTATGCAACGCTTATCAAGCCATGCTGTGGCAGGCATCCCACATATAAAATAGGGGAAGATGGGCCCAGATGTTAGCTCAGGGCCAATCTTCCCCAAGAAAAAGAGGAGGACTGGCAATGGAGGTTAGCTCAGGGCTAATCTTCCTCACCAAAAAAAAAAAGGAGTCTTATTTAAATGGTAAGATTGTCATTAGCTTATTACGATAAAGTTACTTCTGTATTGATCTTTTTTATACAAGGATCATAAAACAAGAGATGATGTTACGTTAATAGAATTCAAGCTATAAATTCAGTTAAACTTGCATATAATTATAATATTTAGTTGTATGGTCTATATTACATAACTATGTTTCAGATTATTTTACAATAAAATATCTTTTTGAAAATAGAAAGGAATTACATGTTTTGGAAATTTGGGTATATAGATCCAATACACAATTTTACAAAAATGTACTAAGTGCGTAGAGACAAAAATAGATTTATAATTTTTTAAACAATCATTCACTTCTACTTTCAAAAAAAAAAGGAATACAGAAAATATGCTCAGCTTTCAAATATGATCAATTTTCATACATCTCAGAAAAGATAATACCATGTGTTTCAGTAAAAAATGGGAAAGAACATATATGCTCTGGAAATATATAAGAAAACCAAAGAGAAAGTGGGAGAAAAGCATACTCTAAGGTTAATGAATCATTAAATTTTTTTAAAAAGTATATTATTTAATTGCATTTCATTTAATATGAATGGATATTCCCATTTACCTTATCTTAACCATCAATAAGTGCCTCCAGATGTTTTCTACAGGGTAAACATTCACATATTTGAATATGCAATTGAGAGAATGCTAAGATCCTTCCCCCAGTCTCACTGATCTCATTCAAATAAAAACCAAAGCTTCAAAAGCAGTTAATATCTATGTTAGTTTTACTTTTAAGAAGATCCTAGAGGCATAAATTATGGAAAAACAACACAACAAAATGAATTTCCCAACAACAGAATCATATCATAACAGAATATCACATATAAATAATAAGTAGGTAGGAAGGAAAATAAGAGAGACTGGTTTTAGTTTCTGTAGGACAATCCTGGGATATATTTAAATTGACTGAGGGTCAGTAATGTTCATTTCATATATGAAAAGCAATATATTTAGAAAGACCAAGAAAAAAGTTTTAGGATTAATACTTGATGGGAAAGGTTTTCTGAGATCATCCTGATAATGTATTTTACCTGGCTGAAAAAAATAAAAAAGCAACTCAAAAGAAGGAAGGGCAACTATACAAACCCAGTATTTAGGTAATGAACCTTATATGCTAGAAATATTTAAATCTTCGTTTTAACATAGTGCCACTGTGCCTAAACTCAATGGAATTATGCAATTCCATTGAATGTTTTAATACTTGCTTAAAAATACTTTAATAGGGGGCTGGCCCTGTGGCTTAGCAGTTAAGTGTGCGCGCTCTGCTACTGGTGGCCCGGGTTCAGATCCCGGGCGCGCACCGATGCACTGCTTGTCCGGCCGTGCTGAGGTGGCGTTCCACATACAGCAACTAGAAGGATGTGCAACTATGACATACAACTATCTACTGGGGCTTTGGGGAGAAACAGGGAAAAAAAAAAAGGGAGGAAGATTGGCAATAGATGTTAGCTCAGGGCCAGTGTTCCTCAGCAAAAAGAGGAAGATTGGCATGGATGTTAGCTCAGGGCTGATCTTCCTCACAAAAAAAAAAAAAAAATTTTAATATTATAAACCTGAAAGCTTTTAAATTATTGATTTTTCCATAGGCGTTTCATAGGTATTTAGGTATGTTACTAATGCCAGACGTTAAAATTACTGTAATTCTATTCAACATCATACAGTAAGCATTAAGAATCTGGAAGACTGAGGAGAGTAAAAAGATTCTGGATTTCAAGAAGAGCATGTCAAAAGCTTAGCGTATATATGAAAAGGACCAGTAAAGTTTAGATTATAAACTTACTGGTCAATATGGTAGCTACTAGCCACATGTACCTACTGAGCACTTAGCTACTGAGCACTTAGAAATGTAGCTAATCTGAAAAAGGAACTAGATTTTTTATTTCAATTAATTTTAATTACAATTTAAAAATTGATACTTAATTTAGTTATTAGAAAACTTTTAAGTATGTTTAGAACAATTTGGGTATGTGAGTCTAATTTTTCAAATGTAAATTTTATGAAATTAAATACAGATCAAGTACTTCTGATAAAAATTTAGCATTTGAATGAAGACGTGCTGTAAATGTAAAATACCAGAATTGTGAACACTTAGCACAAAAAAGAATGTAAAATATCTGATTGTTTTATATTATATCAATTTTATATTGATTACATGTTGAAATGATAAATTAGCTATAGTGGGCTAAACAAAATCTAATTGAAATTATTTTGCCTGTTTCTTTTCCCTTTTTTTAATGTGGCTACCAGAAAATTAAAAATTACATATGTTGTTTGCATTATATTTCTACGGGAAGTGCTGAAACAGAGAGTTAAATTGCACTAGAGCCAAAAGCCTACAGGATGGTCTACTGCCACAACATTTGGATTTAGGAAAGATTCACTAATATTTTAATGGTTATGTATGGTGATTTTACTCAGAAACTGTTCGGCTTTGAAGAAATATAACTGGCTTTTAATACCAAAATTAATAGCTAACATTACCTTTTTGTCTTCCCATTCTCTGACTGAGTTGTTCTGCCCACTTGTAAACTGCAACACACCTCCAGTGCTGGCAGCTAACAGTGGAGGTTGAACCTTGCTAAGGATCTTTGAGCAGAGCCTGAGTGAATCTGTGAGTTCAGACAAACGCAGTGTCTGGAGATGGCTTGTCAGGGCAGAGACCATCCTGAGCAGCAACTGGGGCAAGTGTTCTGTCTGGATTTCAATATACGTCTCCTGAAAATAAAAATGAAATGACAAAAGTTTAAACAATGTATAATTCAAAAGTTATGTTATCTTACTTATATTTAATCTATATAAAAAAGGAAATAATTTTACTCATCTGTAATATTTTATATGTATCATGCTCTTAACCTTGTATGGTCATTTTGTTATTAATGACTTATAAAATTTTTATTCCCAAATTCTCAATTTAAGTACTTCAAAGCATATATTATAAAATAATCCCAGTTTTATCTGCTACATTACTGTAATTATAATATAACAAAAGTAAACATAATCAGTTAAAAACAAAGCAGGCTGAATGTCATACCTGACACAGCACCCTCATACTTCTAGTAGGCTTCAAAATGAGAAAGCAAAGAATTGAGGAGAGAAAAGATAAGGGGAAAAGTTTCCAACAGTCTTAATTTAATACAAAGAATCATTAATAAATACAAATGTAGCATTAGACCATTATACACTAAACATTTAAGATTTCAATAACATGCAATTATAAAGTATATTCCATGTATTATAGAAGACTTGGATATGCAATATATATATATGTCAGAGGACAAAACACTTGGAAAATTTTATGAAAAAAGCTATGCCAAAAGGAAAAAAAATCAATGTAATTTTAAAGATGAAGTATATTTAAAGATGAGGTTTGTCTCCAACATGAAATATTTAAACTATGTTAGTAGATTTCCTCAATATGTTTTTACCAAGGTGATCTTACCAAAGAAACTATATCCAATAAAAAATCCACCAGTAAGCAGAAACTGGTCAGCTGTAACTCAGATGACTCACTGCTATCTCCAGGCCCAATCTGAAGTCTGGCATGCAGTGTCCTCCTAAAAGGACAAAGTTCACTTGATCAAGTATACTATCAAGTGAAATGAATACATGTGACATCACTGTCTTCTTAATGAGGGTCAAGTCAACACTGGGACACACAGTAATGTTCTTGTGATGAAGTACATTCCCTTTCCCCAGGACACCACTGTACCTCTACGTGGAAAATTCCCAAAACAAGATTCCTAGGCTTAACCTCTCCCTGTTAACTCCCATCCTGTACTTTAAGTGTTCCTGATGGATCTCATTTTTGGGACTTATTTCCCACTGCTCCCACCACAGATAACATCTCCTACTTAAAACGGATTATTCGCTGCTTGATTTCTAACCTCAGGGCCTTTGTTTATACCAATTTGTCCTCCTGGATTGCCATCCTCCCAATCTCATTCTCTCATATCCAGAATGCATCCCTCCTTCACGGTTTGAGATCAAATGTTACCTCCTCCAGGAAGCCTCTTCCAACCCAAGTAATAGGGGTCATTCCTCCAACAAATATTCACAATAAATCATTTAACCCTATATGACCACACATTGCCCTATACTCTGAAGACACAAAGTTAAGTAAGAATATGATATAGTCCCCAACCAGCAAGAAAAATATAAGCATAGAGACAAATAAATGTAACAATGTGACAGTACAGGAGAAGCTGATTCTAATGGGAGATTTGGGAGTGTCAGGGAAGGCTAATGAAAGGGGCGTGAACTCTGTATAGGGACCTTAGCACAAGGGCAAGGAGGAAGAATATTTTAGAAGAAATAGCATGAGTGATGGCTCAGCAGCATGAAAGTTAATGTGTGTTCAAGGAATAGTCCAGGTTAGCTAAAGAAAGATGGATGTGTGTGTTTGTGAATGTAGAAATGAGGGCCAGCTAGCAAAAATATACTCATAATTCCTATGCATTGCTACCACATTTTAATCTTTCTATTAAGGCATTTATAACTTTTAATACTAGGAATACACATGTGCATGTCTTGTTCCCACTATAAAGTCTCTGAAGATAGGGACTGTCTACATGCCTAACACAGTGCTTTTCAACTAGGTGCTCAGGATCTGCAGAATGAGTAAGCAAGCAACTTTCTAAATCATTAAAGGATTAAGGTATCGCATCAGCATTTATATTTTTAAAAGATTTGTAATCCCAAGATTGTTCATGCTTACTTTTTGACTATATGCTCCTGAGGCTTGAGATGTTAATCTGGTTCTGAGAGGATTTGGTCTAAAATCCAGACAGGGATTCCACTCAGGTTCACTGGTTTGGGTTTTCAGAACATTTTTTAAACTTTATGTCCTAAGGGGTGAAGGGCTTTTATCACTCACCAGCAACAGTATGAGCTGGTTTTAGGGCTTTAAAAACACAAGAATGACCAACGGATTTCTTGTTATTCAAGGTGGAAATCATTTTGGGAAAGTGTACTGAGGCAGCAGCCACAAATTTGCTATTTTCTCTACAACAAAGAAAAACTGGGTTACTCTAGATTGGAGAGGGAAAATCTTTTTATCTATGCTGGTGACTGAATAACTCATCTCTAAACTCCTTTGCAATTCTAAGATTACACAATCAACGATTCCATATTTGAGAGTGAAATGGTAGAGCCAGATTATGGCTATTAAATAATTAATTGTTGTCAGTAGTAGTAGTAGAATGTATAAAAGAACATTCTTTTCATTAGACTCAAGAACTTAAAAAAATACACAAAAAGCAAAGGTTGGCTTTGGATGCTATTAAATTAAAATGAATGAAATGGTTTAACATACCTACAACATTCTTCAAACCAACGTGCAACGTAATCCCACATATAATAAGGCTCAAATGAATTAAAGAGAAGGTTGGCAGTTTTAATCAGCTCTGCTGTTTTCTTATTTTCCCTTAATTTACTAAAAAAGGAAAAGAAAAACAAAAACTAATAAATATTAATGTTTATTTTTTTCAAATTTAAAGTTGAGTGCAATATTGTTATGGCAGTACACATTCCTAAGTAGTTGCTAGAAAAGTTGCTAGTGAGAAAACTGCAACAAATAATTTTTATCCACTGTCACTCTACTTTACCTGTAGTTATTTTCCAAATTTGAGTTTTCATAACTGAAATGTATGACCAATATCAGAAATTAGCCTTGTATAAGAAAAAACAGCTGTGCTTCTAGCAAAAGAACAAGAAGTTCTTTTTGAACTATTTTGAGTGCCTGGCTGTTAATTTGGCATTAAATTCTTTTGTTTCCCTTGTACATAGAAACTGAGTAGTGATTTGATTTTGACAGCCCTGACTCTGAAATAATTTTGTCTGCTTTCCTGTGCTGCTCAGGATTTACTTAAGAAAGGTTAAGTTTATTTTGGTGAGTTTAAATCAAATTATTCTTAGCTTGAAAAATAACAACAAAAAGAACTAACACTGTAAATAGCCATTATTACTGAAGTTCCATCAGGGAAAAATAACTTTCTTTTTTCAAGTAGAAATCCTTTAGCCTATTAACTATCACCTACCTACCATCTCCCGCCATCTTTCCTAACAATTAAAACACTTATTTTTTAAAAAAGTGAGGTACCTTCAATGCAACTAGCAAGTTATAGCACAAAAGACTAATTAAATACTCTGAGGCAATACAAATTATCAGGCAGAGTACAGAATGAAATTGAGTACCAGGTTAGTTAATATTAACTTCTCAAACAAAAATTACAGGGGATCATATTTATCAGAAATCAAAAACTGTCTTAGGGCCGGCCCCGTGGCTTAGCAGTTAAGTGCGCCTGCTCCGCTACTGGCGGCCCGGGTTGGGATCCCGGGCGCGCACCAACGCACTGCTTCTCCAGCCATGCTGAGGCCGTGTCCCACATACAGCAACTAGAAGGATGTGCAGCTATGACATACAACTATCTACTGGGGCTTTGGGGGAAAACAAAAGGAGGAGGATTGGCAATAGATGTTACCTCAGAGCGGGTCTTCGTCAGCAAAAGGAGGAGGATTAGCATGGATGTTAGCTCAGGGTTGATCTTCCTCACAAAAAAAACCAAACCAAAACAAAACAAAAAAAACTGTCTTAAAATATTTTTATAAAAAAGTGCGTTTTAGGAAAGCTCAGGTTATCTCCAAAGTCTCACCAAGAAGACACTAACGGAATGCAAATTGTGTAAAAGAAGTTGTAGTCTTGGAACCTTTGTCATATAATGATAGATAAGACTGGAAAAGAGGTAGGCTGCTTAAAATAGAGGAGAAATGAAAAAGTAAGACTCTGTCAACATGTATCTTATCACTGCCTTAGAGAAAAGGATATGCTAATTTTATATGACTTGTCCCAGGCATTCAAAAAGCATATATATTTATATACATACCTGAGAGAAGAAATAACTACGACATGAAAAAAAAAATTATTTAAAGAATACTCAGTGTCCTTTGATTCACTTAACTCTGTGTTCAAGTCTTTTTCTGATCTGTGATTTGGATGCCTGAGTGTGTCAAATCATGAAGAGTCACTGCCCCATGCAAACAACCAGGCCGAATTACCAAGCAAGGTACAATTCCCATTATTAACTGACATGTGGTAGTTAATCTCTTGTGAGTTTGGTAAGTGTGAATAAATTCCCTGGAATTCATATTTTCTTTTTTTTTTTTTAAATTAATTAATTAATTAATTTATTTATTTATTTTTCCCCCCAAAGCCCCAGTAGATAGTTGTATGTCATAGCTGCACATCCTTCTAGTTGCTGTATGTGGGACACGGCCTCAGCATGACTGGAGAAGCGGTGCGTCGGTGCGTACCTGGGATCCGAACCCAGGCCGCCAGCGTCGGAGCGCGAGCACTTAACCGCTAAGCCACAGGGCCGGCCATATTTTCATATTAACTGCTAAAAATTAAGTTTTCAAAACTGGTGAGGTTGAGAACCAACCCTGGAATGTGGTGGTTCTACTACATAGCAGTCATGCTGTAAATGCCTGTTTGAAAGATGAGAGCAATCAATTATGGGTGTTCGCATTACCAAAATGCAGTGATATTTTAAATCAAATTTACTCATTCAGAACACAAACTTCATAGAGTAGTGTCCACTTTATGAATATTAATAAATGAGGACAGCTTATGTCACGCTTAATTTTTTGGTAATCCACCTGCTTAACTGAGCATGATCCTTGCTGAAGGGTGGTTCCATCTGAAGATCCAATTCTGCTTTGCATTGAGAATATAACGTTCTAAACACTTCAATTAGGACATCTTCTAGAATTACAGGTCCTAAAATTAATATACATATTAAAGACAATAATTAATTAGCATTGGCAAATCATGATTATCTGAAAGTTGGCCCAATTACAGGATGCTTTAAAACAAGTATTTTTTAAAAAGTCTTTTTTTTCAGAAGCTAAACTTAACATTTTGAGAAGCTAACAGTAAAACAGAAAATAACTGAACAAAAGTTTATTTAACTATAGGTTCACATAATAGAAATTACAAAATCAGAGAAATTGGTTTTGCCAATTAATAGCTCTTTTACTTTGGACAAGTTATTTAACTTCTTTGAGCTTTAGTTTTCTCATCTAGAATAAGGATAATAATAACAAACTTACAGGACTGTTGTAAGGGTTAGGAAAAATATTTGTAAGGTGGCTAGCATAGTTCCCAGGATATATGAGTATTCAATAAATGTTACTAATATCATTACTATTGTTAATTAATTTAAATACAAAAAGGTACAAGGCTAAACTTTATTTATTGCTGTTTATTATTTAATTATTTATTAAACTTTATTTACTGTTTATTGCTATAACAGATGTCAATCTCCTTCAAAAAATTCCTGATTCATTTATTATCACATAATAGCTAAAATAAACTCTCAAAGCCATTGATATAACTAAGGTTATTTTTATATTTAAAATTGTTCATATTTAAGAATTGGTGAGACAAGCATATTTGCTAAAACATCTGCATATAATTTAATAAAATTATATACTTTATTATTTCATTTTATTGTTGCTAATATTTATGGTTTTTCTTAATTTCTGTCCCAGGTACCATAACTAACTTCATATTAGTTCTAATACACAAGAAATATACAATGAAGAAAAGGAAAACATACAAAACAAAGGAGATATGGGGAAGGAAGTTGAGGGATATAACCCAAATATTTCTACTCAAGTCCTTGAATTCTGTGAAACTATACGATAATCATGACAGATCATAAAAGGTTCAATTTCAGTAACTTAATCAGGATAAAGAAGAGCTTAGATAGTATCTTTAAAATGACTCCTCTGCTACACACATAGTACCAGGTAGATATATGATAACAAATCAGTTGGATCTACATCTGTACTTTAAGGTTCTAGAGCCATTTTTAGGTAAGAAATTGCTGAAAACATGTATTTAAAGGCCTCAAAATATAGCAACTTTTGTAAGTAATGACTTTGTCTCACTTTTATTATGAAACTATACAAAACAACCATATGTGACCTTATGCCCTAGGACAGTATATATTACCTAGCTCAGGTTTGTCCAGTAAACTGATTAAAATACGAAAAGGTTTTAGATCCTGCATTAAAGTGCTCTCTTCTCCAAATCCATTCACTTGTAAGATCCCCACCATTGCCTTTAAAAAAGAAAAAGTACACTAGTCATTTAAATAAACAAATTCAAAGATTTCTTTCTAAAGAGAAATATTTTTAAATACAACCATATGTAATGGAGATTTACATTCCCTATTGCTTTTTTGAAGCTTTTTCACTGAAGTTGGCTTTTTCTCTCTGCTAGGGGAAAAAAAATTATGTTCACTTGTCTTGAGAGAAGGAAAAATGCTTACATTGTCACTAGAAAAAAATTGGAAAAGTTAAAGAAAATCTAGAAAAACAAATTCATGAGTTGATTGTTTACCCAAAAGATAATATTTGTATTTAAGATCATCAATATGCCCCAAACTATGCCACACAATCATGGCAATATCTGCTAGTATGCAATTATTTCCCCACTAGTGACTCAAAACTAACTACATTCTTATAATCTGACTCATTTTAAAATGCTTCAGATACTATGTATTTTCTCAGATTATTTTGAGATATCTTGAATAAATATAATTGAAGTAAAAATAATATGAAATAAACCTATGCATCGTTTTAACATTTCCATTTCAATAGCAGTTTTACCACATTTAGATTCCTGTTGCAACCCACATTTCACTGGGGCTTCAGAGGAAATAACAAAGGTCCTGGTCTGTTTTCGGAAAAGCTCCAACTTTCATACAGCAGACAGGGGAGAAGCTGCAATTATGTTTCAATAAAGTTATGAAAACAAAGTAAAAAAAAAAATCTCTGGACTTACACAGAACTGAGTCTAGCTTATGCTTACTTATTTTTTTTATTGTAGTCATTTGCTTGTTATAGTCATTCTTAGAAAGTTTGTGAGTTGTGTCTCCATCCCTTCAACTAGTGAATTAATTCTATGAAGGTAGCCTTGTCTTACATTTGTTGAGTAACTCTAGTGGTCAGGGAGTAACCAAAAAATAAAATGAAAGCATTCATTACCTGAACCAACAATTCTTTTGAAAATGTAGTGAAATAGTAAGTGGCATGTTCTTCAGGATTACTGTGTCTTGTGCTTCTGGGTCCTATGATAGCACCGTTGTTATCAAAACCTCCATGAAAACAAATTGCAAAATAAATTAAAATGGAATTCCCAAAACTGTTGTTTACTAAATACCAAAACAGCAAATAGCTCAAAAACAGCACTAACTACTTACCAATTAGTAGCCCAATCAATGTCAGCAAGAGAGATCATTTTAGATAGTTTAATAAAGGGAAACCAATTCAATATTTAAGTGAGTATCATAGTATTCTTCCAGAACTATCCTATTTTTTTTTAATCTTATGAACAGTGAAATAAATGAAGATTCAGAAAATCCAAGGTAAGTTATATTGTGCCCTCTCACTCTAGGTGATAAGGAGTTGTGAAGACAGGCCAAATACTCACAAAAAGTATGGAAGAACAAAGTGTACACAATGCTTTACTGCCTGAGTGGGAGACTGGTACCATGTGTGGGACAGTTAGTACTAGTTCTGATTCCTTTGATGACTTCAAAGTTTTAGACATTATTTCATTATTTTGATTATTAATTTATCCTTCTTTATCTACATACTTACAACAACCTTGATTTATAAGGGGAAAAAAAATCTTGTCAAAGGGAAGGAACATGACCTATGGATTAAAATAGTTTCTTTGACTAATAAGTTGTTGAAATTTCTTTGTACAATACACATACTGTTTATATTTTTATTGTCCATTTAAGCAAACTTTTGGACAACACACATTTAGGACATACACACAACCTGATAATACTTGTGTATGGCAAACTTCCCTCCATCTTTTCCCAGCTAAAATCATACACATCAAATACCTACCAAGAAGCCATGCATAAAGTCTTCGGTTCAGGGACATATCCCTCCTTAGTACTACATGAAGGGCTGCTGACAAGATCCTGATCATATCTGGTCGAGTGGCCTGAAAAAGTTAGGAATGTGGTTGTAGTTAATCACATACCAAAAAGTATTAGTTTTTCCCTCTCTTTAAAAAAATAGTACCTTGCAATACATTCAGAACTTCAGAGCTTAACTTTTGAGGTACTTTCAAATAACATTATCTTATTTGATCTTTCAAACACAAGAATTATTACTTCCATTTTACAGATTAGGAAACAACAAGAAAAATTAGGTAACAGCTATTTAGTTGCACAGCTGAAACTGTAACTGAATTATTTTAACCTCCAGTTTAAAGTTCTTTATCCTATCCAATATTAGCAAAATCTGACACAAAACAAAAAAAACAGAGCAGATGGGACAAATACAAGAAAATCATATGGCTTTAGTCTTTCACAGTCATAGTGTTGTCAACTTGACTACAAATTCTGTAGAAATTCACTATCTTCATAAATTCCAAGTCTTTCTTGTTCTTTAAAAAATTTTTTGTCTTATAGTATTTTAAACATATAGAAAAATGTAGAAAACAGTATCATAAATGCTTTTGTACCCATCATTCAACTGTAACAAATTTTAATATTTTTTTCATTTTATTCCAGATCTTTTAAAGAGAAATAATTCATTTTTTCTTCACATAGCCTTAAGTAGATGTTCAAAAAATGATTTACTAAAGGAGATCTGGTTTTAGCTAAAAGAAGTAAAGGTAAAAGAAAGATGAAAGGAAGATAGCTAATTAAATTGCTGCCCGGCTTATTTGTTTTAAAGGAATCTTAGAGAAACAACTGAGATGTCACAACACAGATCATCAAAAGTTCACAAATTACAGTCACTCATCTGAACATAGATGTCTTCTATCAATCTAAGCAATTCTCAAAGTGTGGTCCCCAGACTTCTGGGGACCTCTAAGACCCTCTCAGGAGGGCCACTAGGTAAAAATTATATTCATAACAATACCAAGATGTTATTTGCCTTTTCTGCTGCGTTGACATTTGCTCTGATCACGTGATAGTGGGTAAAACTGCTGGCATCTTAGCAAGAAAAGAAGCCGTGCAGCAGTGGCACCCACTGTACTTGTAGTCACTGTATTTTTTACCATGTACTTGCAGTAAAATAAAAAAGAAAAAAAAAGCCAGTTTCACTTAAGAATGTTGTTGATGAAACAGCAAAAACTTATTTTATTAAATATTGACCCTTTAGTACATGTCTTTTATATTCTGTATAATGAAATAGGAAGTACACATAAAGCACTTCTGATGTATACTGAAGGACGACAGATGTCTCAAGGAAAAGCACTTTTGTGACTGAATTGTGAGCTGACCTACCCGCTTTTTTCAGAGTATCACTTTTCCCTGAAAGAATGACTGATGCAAACTGTGATTATTTAGGCTTGGGTGCATGGCAGATATTTTCTCAAAAATAAACAAAGTAAGCCTGTCACTTCAAGGAAAACAATTAATATTCATCGTTACAAATAATAAAATTTGAGCTTCCAAGAGAACATGAGAATTTTGGAAAATTTGTATTTGGCTGGAAATTGTATTGTGTTGAATTGAATTGAATTGGCTTGAAAGCTTCCTAACATCTAAAAAACTTTACTGATGAGATCAGTGGTGACAGTAATAAATGTGACAGTTTGTTATTCTATAATGAAATGTGTTAACATTTAGAAGATCTGCATAATTCAGTAAACCAACATTTTCCAAATAACCAAGCATGATGTTACGAAAGTATGTATGGGTAAAAGATCCATTAAAAGTGCAAGACAGATCAGTGGAGTTTAATAAAACAGAATACAAAAAGTTGATTGATATGGTTTTAGATTCCATAACACAACTAATTTTTTAAAACTACAGCTTGTTGAGTTTTGGTGTAGCATCAAAGACGAAGGTGCTATTTTAACAGAAAAGACTATTGAAATACTCCTCCTTTTTCCAACTTACATATCAATGTAAGATCAGATTTTCTTCATATAGTTCAACCAAAAGAAAAAAATCACAACAGATTGAATGCAGAAGCAGATATGAACATTCTGCTTTCTACTATTAGGCCAGACATTAAAGAGATTTGCAAAAATATAAAGCAATGTTACTCTATTCACTAATTTTTTTTTAATATGTCGGAAAATAGTTACTTTCATAAGATGTTATTTATGTTAATGCAATAACTTTGTTATTGTTATTTTCAAATGAATTAGTAAATACTAAGAAATTTCTCAGTTTCAATTTCTAATGATAAATATAGAAGGATCTAACCTACATAAATAAAAGATGTTTTTGGATCCTCAATATTCTTAAAGAGTGCAATGGGATCCTGAAACTAAAGCATTTGAAAACTACTGATCTATCTGTTCAACATCAGATATGTAGATTATAGATATTGTCACAAAATCTTAAAAAGTACAAATGTCTCCCAATCTTATTTTGAGAGAAAAACTGCTCTTAAGAAAGTAAGAAGTCACTTCTTGATTACTATTGACATTGTCACATATTTCTAATATAGAAAAAAATTCCACTGTAATTTCAAAGGTGGTACTACTAGAGATTAGGGTCAACTTTCCATGAAATAAATAAAAAGAGTCTAACAAGTTGCAACTGCTGAAGCTCCTAACGGCAATCACTCTTGTGGGATAAGGTAATGAAGGTTCTCAAGTTAAAATTACAATGAATACTTGCTAAGTGTCTATTATATGCAATACATAGAAAGAAGGAAAGTGGGGAACAAAGATGACTTTGTCATGATCCTTATTCTCAGGTAATTTAATGATGTGGTACAGTAATGGAGGGAAGAGTGTTAGAATTGGGTCTGGGTAGGGTATATACTTTAAAAAAACACATTCAACATAGCTACTGTTTTCATAATATAAATTATAGAAGGTAAGGCTTGAGAAAATCTTCTTGGTTGGTAGGGATACAGAGGTGGTGGAGTAAAAAAGTACTGAAGGAAGCTTAGGCTGAAAAATGGTTAAGAAACACTGGTCTAGTGAGATTACAAATTAAGTTCTTTCCAATTTAACTCTACTATGACTTAATTCCTCAAATCTTATTGAGTCACCTAACAGTGTACTGAAAAACTAATAATGTTGAATGTTTGCAAGGGAAAAAAGTAATGGGAAGGTTTAAGAGTAAAGGTCAATAATTTTTTTCAATAAAGGGCCATATAATAAGTATTTTAGGTTTTTGAGCCACATACCTTCCTTTGGCATATTCTTCGTTTTCTTTTACGAGCCTTTAAAGAAGTAAAAATCATTTCTATCTTTTGGGCTGTTTGCCCGCCCTTATACTAGTAAGTTCAGACTACATTGAGATGTCTCGGTGGGCATTTCTGTGAAAAGCCAGTGGCAGAACAAAGGCCCCTGGTTTAGGGATGAAAAGTCTCAGAATAGAAACTGGGGGTGGTTTATGTCCTAATTAGGGACAGTATAGACAATGAAGTGTAAAATTCTTCAGTTATTAATAATTCAATTTGAAACTGAATAAAGTAATAAAGAAAAATTTGAGCATTGCCGATCATAATGAAAACTCACTACTTATCTACTAACCACAGGTCTTACAGAAATTCCAAATAATAGTCTTTTCTGCTAATAACTTTTAAGAAATAAACTTATTTTTCCAAGATAAAAACTCTCTATATCTTATTACTTTTGTTAGGCATATAGTTCCACCATTCTGAATGCTTACATACTAAGCATTGCTCTAAATCACTCCTCATTAAGGTTTAGAACTCAAAAGAATCTGAATGACTTCTTGAAAAATGAGGACACTGATTAAGTTTCAGCAACAAAATGCTTCATTGATGATTTGTTAAGTTAGTTGCTTTCCATTGTAATAAAAGTACTAGAGAATGTTACAATGACTAAATATTTGGCTTTCAAATTACAGCCAACTCTGCTAAGGGTCTGAAATACATCCGGAAATCACCAAACCAAGAAAAGATAACATCAGGACAGAGATAACAGCTGCATAGAAGGCCTGGGTCTCAGAGTCTTGGCTCACTCAGAACTAGCAATGAGTACCTCTTGCTTTTTATAGTTAGAACTTTTTTTTTTTTAAATGTATAAAGTAATCTATTTCAATTTCCATATTCTTATCAAAATCAATAAATCTTTTTTCTTCAAAATTTTCACAAGTTCCACTCATTAAAAAAGAACTTGTTTTCTATGTACTTACTGGTTTATAAAATAAAAGAATCCAACTTAAAAATAACTAGACATCACAAATCTGTATGACTTTCCAAAGAACGCCTTATATTAATATCAGCATTAATGTTTTACCTGACTCATGTGGAACGGAAAACAGAAGAGTATGAGGTCCAGTGTGCTTCTCTGTACAAGTACACTTGAGTCCTGCACCGAAGTACTTACTGCTTCTACCTGAAATAAGAGAGCCTTTAATACCTACGATCTATTACACTGGGAAATATTTACCATGAAAATGTAAAAACTCTTCATTTTCTCCCATAAATAAAATATGCTTCTCAGCATCTTTTCAATAATTAAAAGTAATTAAATTATTTCAAATAGGTAAAAAATACTATAATGGTTTAAAACTTAAGGAGCACAAAAGAATATACAGCAGAGAGATTCCCTCCCATCTGTCTCCCAATCACCCAATTTCCTTTTTGCAAGCAACCAGTATTACTAGTGATATTTTCTGCAAATGTAAGTAAATAAAAACACACATGCATATATCCCAAACTCTGCCTTTTTAACAATATATTCTGGAGATCTTTTCTTATCATTACATAAAAAACTTCATTATTTTTTTTATGGCCAAAGAAGTGCTTTATTTCATAGATAAACCCTACTTTATTTAACTAGGTTCTAAGGATGGACATTTATACCATTTGTAAACATTTACTATTGTAAATAATGCTGCAATATACTTATGTAACGTACAAGCACATCTGTAGGATAAATCCCTCAAAGGAGAATTGCCAGGTCTTAAGGTACATGCAGTTGCAATTTAATAGTGTAATGCTTTCTATTAAGGTTACATATATTCATAATCCCATCAGCTATGCATGACAACTTCTGTTTTCCCACATTTACCCATGTATGTTTTATTTTTGCCAATCTGATATATGAAAACTGGTATATTGGTGTATTTTAAATTTTTAATTCTCTTATAAATAATGTTGAGTACCTTTTCATGTGTTTGTATTATTTTTATTTCTTTTAGGTTAATTATCTGTTCAAATCCATTTTTCTACTTGATTGTTAATATTTATTTATTTATAGTAGTTCTTTGATTAGGAAGATTAGTCCTTTGACTGTGATGTGTTGCAAATAATTTTCCACTTATGGCATTTGTTTTTTTAAAGAAATTTTAAAAAATGATTTGTTTAAAGCTTCCATTAAGTTGTTAAAAGGAAATATAATAATACATTTAAAAAACTGCATAAAAATAATATAGCCATTTTGGACAATCGTTTGGCAGTTTCTTGTAAACTTCAACATACATTAGAAGAAAACGTAGGAGTAAATCTATGTGACCTTGGAATACACACAATTTCTTAGATAATATCTAACACCAAAAGCACAAACAGCAAAAGAAAAAACAAATTGGACTTGATCAAAATTAAAACTTTTGTGCTTCCAAGGACATTATCAAGAGAGTGAGAAAATCCATAGAATAGGGGAAAATATTTTCAAATTATACATATGAGTTTGATATCCAAAATATGTAAAAAAATCTACAATTCAACAACAAAAAGAGAAATAACCCAATTTAAATAATGGGCAAAGAATATGAATAGAGGGCCGGCCCCACGGCTTAGCGGTTAAGTGTGCGCGCTCCGCTGCTGGCTGCCCGGGGTTCGGATCCCGGGCGTGCACCGGCGCGCTGCTTCTCCGGCCATGCTGAGGCCGCGTCCCACGTACAGCGACTGGAAGGATGTGCAGCTATGGCATACAACTATCTACTGGGGCTTTGGGGAAAAAAATAAAAATGAATAAAATTATTAAAAGAAAAAAAGAATATGAATAGACATTTCTCCAAAGAAGATATAAAAATGGCCACCATAACCACAAGAAAATATGCTCAATATCATGAGTCATTAGTGAAATGCAAATCAAAACTACAATAAGATAACACTTCACATCTACTAAGATGGCTATAATAAAAAAGACAGACAATAACAAGTATTGACAAGGATGTGGAGAAATGGAAACCCTCATATATTGCTGGTGGAAATATAAATTGGTGCAATCATTTTGGAAAAGAGTTTGCCAGGTCCTTAAAAAGTTAAACATAGAGTTAGCACCATATGACCCAGCAATTCCACTACTAGGTATATACCCAAAAGAAATGAAAACATATGTCTACACAAAAACTTACACATGAATGTTCATAAAGCATTATTCATAACAGCCAAAGGTAGAAGTAACCCAAAAGTCCATCAACTGATGAATAAATAAAGTGTGGAACACAATGGAATATTATTCAACAATAAAAAGGAATAAAGTACTGATATGTGCTTCAACGTGGATGAATCTTGAAAATACGATGGTAAGTGAAAGAAGCCATTCATGAAAGATCACATATTGTATAATTCCATTTATATGAAATGTCCAGAATAGGCAAATTTATAGAAACAGAAAGTAGATTAGTGATTCCCAGGTGACAGAAGTGAAGGGGAAACGTGGTGTGATTAATAAGTATGAAGTTTCATTTTTGGGACAAGAGAATGTTCTGGAATTAGGTAGTGGTAACAGTTGGACAACTTCATGAATATACTAAAAACCACTGCATTGTACAATGTTAAAAGGGTAAATTTTATGGTATGTGAATTATATCTCAATAAAATTGTTATAAAAACAAGTTAAACATACATTTACCATGTGAACCAGGAATCCTATTCCTAGGTATTTTCCCAAGAAATAAAAGCATATGTCTATACAAACAACTGTATGCGAATGTTTATAGTGGCTTTATTTATAACTATCCAAAACTGGAAACTCACATGTCCATTAATCAGTAAATAAAGAAACTATGGTACATTCATTCAATACTACACAGCAAGATAAAGGAACAAACAACCGATATATGCAAAAACATGGATGAATCTCAAATGTGTTACACAAAGTGAAAGAAACCAGAATACATGGCTCACACTGTATGTGTCCATTCATGTAACATGTACATGTCCATTCATGTAACATTCTGGAAAAAGCACAACTATAGGAACAGAAGACAGACGAATGTTTGCAAGGGCCTGGTAGTGTAGGGAAAAGTGAGTGACTACAAAGAGGCACAAAAGAACTTTTTGGGGTGATGTAAATGTTCTATATCTTGATTGTAGCATTGGTTACATGACTGCATGCATTTGTCAGAATTCATACAACTGTACACATAAGATGAGTTAATTTCAGTGTATGTTAATTATACTTTAATAAATATAACCAAAAATCTGCACAAAAATCTCAGTCATTTCATAATCATACAGGGAAAAAGTAAAGGATGATTAATCAAAAATTTTTTTTAACTTTTCAAAATGACCCTTGAGGGATTGTTTTTTAATTCTTGTTCATTTTAAGAGAATAGCACTCTATAGAGATACAAGGTTTCCTTCTGTTCTTAATCTGGAAATTAAAAAGTATAAGCAGGGGCCTGCCCAGTGGCGCAGTGGTTAAATTCGTGTGCTTTGCTTCGGCGGTGGTCTGGGGTTAGCAGGTTTGGATCCCAGGTGTGGACCTACGCACCACTCATCAAGCCATGCTGTGGCAGGTGTCCCACATACAAAGAAGAGGAAGATGGGCACAGATCTTAGCCCAGGGCCAATCTTCCTCAGCAAAAAGAGGAGGATTGGCAACAGATGTTAGCTCAGGGCTAATCTTTCTCACACACACACAAAAAAAGTATAAGCAGGCAATCAATGTGATTTTTTCTACTCTTTCCCTGTCTGCTTTAGCACTATGTCCTCTTACACAAATACCACACAGATTCTGGCTATCACTTTGTCTAAAATCTATCTTTCCTATAAGAAAAGCTATGATCAAAGAGAAGGCCCACTTCAGAATAATAAAATGAATATAGCTATGTTAACAGTAGTCTGATCAGTTAGCAAGATGGTAAAAAAGACCATTAATTTGCTTGAATAACAGATAATGGAGATAACATATAAATAATTACTTTTCCATGAAAAAAACTTTAGCTCCATGAAAATAGGAACTTTGTGGCATGATTCTCAATATCTGTCTGGAATAGTGTGCCTAGCTTTAAAGAAGCATTTGTTAAATGAGCCACCATATATAGACCTACCATTAGCTCAATATCACTGCCAATTATATACAGTTGATCTTCCATGGAAAGCTTCCTGTTCAAATGGGCAAGAACATACGTGATTCCAGGTAAACGCACAGCAGGACTGGTGAGAAGACTACCCCAGAGGGCACTGTAAAATGCTGACTGGTCCACTGCAGCAGCAACCTTTTCCAACAATGTGTTTGTTCTGAGGTACAAAAAAGGGGTTTAAGAAGGGAAACATTTAGTTTCATATTGTTAAAAATAAATCATTATTCTCTTCCAGAATGTATGAAGGCATTGATACTGTAGACATATGCTCTGCCCTGGAGACAAGTGTGAAAGACTGGAAGAAGCACATACTTTAGAATCAGATGACTGGATTTAAGACCTGGCTCCACCATTTACAAGCTGTATAATTTAGGGAAATCACTCAATCTTTTTTCAGTTCAGTTTCCTCAACCATCAAATGAAGATAACAAAAATACCACAAGTCCTATCTACCTCGGTGGGCTGTTAAACACCATACACATTTTAGTTAATAGTAATCCTATAGCAGAGCATATATTTGTGGATTTTCTACAAAATCTTAAAGGACATTTCCAAATGTTTCCATCTCTTTGAGATCATACTATGTAATTCACAACAACTTTAATGAATTAGACCTATGACAAAATCAAGGCTGCATTATTGCTTTATTAAGGATTACATCTCAAGATTAATTACTTTTAATTTCTTTTAGCATAACAATTTAATACAGAAAAATCTATTACACTGTAGCACAGCAGAGTCAGAATCAAGAGAATCTGATGATAAGTTCTACTGTTTACTTGCTATATGATTTAATACTAACACTGTAATCCCTTCTGGCCTCAATTTATCTATGCATTAAAAGAAGAACATGTTTACAAATCCTTTTATAGAACTTGTGTGGAATAACTGGCAAAACATAATGGTATGGTCTGAATGTTTGTGTCCCCTCAAAATTCCTATGTTAAAAACCTTATTCTCCAAAGGTGATGGTATTAGGAGGCAGAGCCTTTGGGAGGTGCTTCAGTCATGAGGGTGGAGCCCTCATGAATGAGATTAGTGTTCTTACGAAAGAAACCCCACAGAGCTCCACAGCCCCTTCTACTACGTGAAGACACAGGGAGAAGGCTCCAGCTATGAACCAGGAAGAGGGTTCTTACTAGAACACGACCATGCTGGTGCCTTGATCTTTGACTTCCAGACTTCAGAACTGTGAGAAATAAATTTCTGTTGTTTATAAGCTACCCAGTCTGTGGTATTTTGTTATAGCAGCCGAAAGGGACGAAGACACATAACAAGATAAATCATAGGGATACCACTGTCATAAAGATCATTATTCATTTCTATGCTAAATTCTTAATTGTAACTAGCAGAGTTATAAAGTGGTACTGATTCTACGCTCCCCTTAGGGGAATTAATATAACAATTTAAAACAAAACTGATTTATAAACTAAATAAAATCTCACATTATGTTACAAAATGTGACTTACAAAAAGGTAAGTTAATAAAAGCAAATGATTGGCTTTGAGGACAAAATTATTTTTTCTCTAAGTAGCTTATAAGGGTAATCCAATATTTTCAGGTTTAGATTCTTACTGCATTATGGGAGCAGATGAAATACAATAAAATAGAGTAGATGGTCAATGAATAGAATAAATTATTTAAATTTAAATAATTAAGTGTACTGATAAAATAAGTTTGGCATTTTCTATTTTTGCCACCTCAACTCAAATTACAAAATTTATAAGAATATCAGTAATGAGATATTAAAGATACTTAATGCCATCATGCATTGTCTACAACTATTAACTTCCAAAGAAATAACAGGCTCCAAAATAGATCAAATCATTTTCTTCAAAAAGTGAAAATATCAAGATTATCATGTCAACAGCTAGTGAAACACCACTACACTAGGTGCCAGGCTATTTTCCAACCATTAACACTTTAAAAACTTTTGGCACACAGCCCAATTTTCCATTCTTTTTATTAATCAAAATGTCCCATCCATTGTATTATTATTTTAAATTATAGGTTATAATTTTTTGAGTGACATATGTGGTTGGGCACTGGATTAAGTGATTTTATTACAATAACACAATGAAATAGGTATTGTGCTTGTTTTATAGATGAAGAAACTGAAAAAAGTTCAGAAATGTTAAAAAAAGCTTTCCTAAGCTCATACAATGTCTGTCACCCCAGGAGTTGAACTCAGTCCATCTACCTCCCAAGTCTGTGCTCTTACTACCTAGCTATGTTTTCAGAGTGATACACAGATTAGACAAACTGCAACAATTTTTGTGCTATAGAAATCTTCAGGTGATATACTGAAGTGTCTAGAATATTAATTTTTGTGATGTTAAAACATTATTGATATAAGAATGCTTGTGGACAAATCCATGACTTTGATTACTTAGCTGTACCAATAATACCACCATCTTACCTCTCATAATACTCTGATCCTTCTTCTAAGCCAGGGAGAATACCAGTTAGCAATCCTTGTAGACCAGGCTTCAGTGTTTTACCCAAAGGCAGGTAATAGATCTCATACAAACTTAGCAATGTTGGTTTCACAGACATGGCAGCATTTGCAAGAAGAGGAAATAATCCAGAACTATTTAAAAAAATAAAAACATGAACAAGTACACACCAACAAACTGGACAACCTAAAAGAAATGGAAAAATTCTTAGAAACATACAACCTACCCAGAATTTGGAAGAAATATAAAGTCTGAATAGACCAATTACTAGTAAGGAGATTGAACCAGTAACCAAAAATCTCCCAGTGAAGAAAAACACAGGACCAGATGGCTTCACTGGTGAATTTTACCAAATATTTAAAGAAGAATTAATGCCAATCCTTCTCAAACTCTTCCAAAAAAATCAAGGAGGAGGGCACACTCCCAAACTCATTTTATGAGGCCAGCATCACCCTGATACCAAAGGCAGAAAAAGACACTACAAGAAAACAAAACTACAGGCCAATATCCCTGATGAACATAGATGCAGAAATTCTCAGTGAAATAGTCACGTGCCGCATAACAATGTTTCAGTCAATGACGGACCGCACATACAATGGTGGTCCCATAAGATTAGTACCACATAGCCTAGGTATGTAGTAGGCTATATGATCTAGATTTGTGTACACAGACTCTATGAAGTTCGCACAATGACGTATTTCTCAGAATGTATCCCCATCACTAAGCGATGCACGACTATACTAGCAATCCAAATTCAGCAGCACATTAAAAGATCATTCACCATGATCAAGTGGGATTTATCCCTGGGATATAAGGATGGTTCAACATACACAAAATCAACGTGATATATCATATTAATAGAATGAAAGAAAAAATCACACAATCATCTCAATAGACACAGAAAAAGCATTTGACAAAACTTAGCATCCATTCATGATAAAAACTCTCAACAAATTGGCCATAGAAAGAATATACTTCAACATAAAAAAGGTCATATATGGCAAGCTCACAGTTAACATTATACACAATGGTGCAAGCTTGAAAGCTTTTCCTCTGAGGTCAGGAACAAGACAAGGGTGCTCATTCTCACCACTCCTATTCAACATAGGACTGGGAACATAGTACTCCTAGCCAGAGCAATCAGGCAAGAAAAAGAAATAATAGGCATCAAAACTGGAAAGAAAGAAGTAAAACTGTCTCTATTCGCAGATGACATGATTTCATATATAGAAAATCCTAAAGACTCCACCAAAAAACTGTTAGATCTAATCAATGAATTCAGTAAAGTTTAAGGATACAAAATCAACGTACAAAAATCAGTAGCATTCCTATACACTAACAACAAATTATCTGAAAAAGAAAGAAAGAAAACAATCCCATTTACAATATCATCAAATACAATAAAATACTTAGGAATAAATTTAACCAAGGAGGTAAAAGATCTGTACACTGACTAAGGCATTAATGAAAGAAACTGAAGAAGACACAAGTAAATGGAAAGATGTTCCATGTCCATGGTTTGGAAGAATTAATATTGTGAAAATATCCATACTACTGAAAGCCATCTACAGATTCAACCCAATTCCTATGTAGATTTCAATGGCATTTTTTACAAAAACAGAAACAACAATCCTAAAATTCATTTGGAACTATAAAGACCCTGACTAGCCAAAGCAATCCTGAGAAATAAGAATAAAGCTGGAGGTATCACACTTTCTGGTTTCAAACTATACTACAAAGCTAAAGTAATCAAAACAGTATGATATTGGCATAAATACAAACATATGTAACTATGTGAGGTGATGAAATGTGTTAACTAAACTTACTGTGGTAATCATTTCACAATATATACATATATCAAATCATTATGTTGAACATCTTAAACTTATACAATGTCATTGTAGGGGCACTAGCCTATGTGCCCTCTAACAACCATGTGTCCTTCTGGCCCCCTTCTGGGCAGGATATCAAATACCATCTGGTATTTGTAACAATCTAGGGCCTGCCCAACCCCAATCTGCTTATGTCAAAGAATATCACATCTTGAAGGAACCTAGAGTGCTTCCACGTGAGCTACTGGTCCTTGGAATGCTGGTCATGCAAAGACAGTCCCTCTGGGCAAGCACACAGCCTTTGTTCCCCTGCCTATATAAGCAACCCTCTCTCTGTTCACGGTAGTAGGTGCACAATTTCATCCAGCTGGCTGCTCCTGGACTCCCTGTACGTTAAGTCCCAATAAACCCTTATGTCTCGTATGCTGTCTCCGGGTCTTTTCTTCGGTCTCTCCACAACCTATCTCACCCTGCTCGCACAACTGGGTGTGTGGTCAGACAGTTATATATCAATTATATCTCAATAAGGATGGGGGAAAAAAGAAAACATTTTACATATAGATGAAAAAAAGAGAGAGAGAGAGAATTAGAGACCTGGAAGCTATGTAAGAGGAAATTACCCAGAATGCAGTACAGAGACAAGAAGTTTCAAAATAGGGAAGACAGGTTAAGAGATGGGGCAAGCCAGAGTGAGAAGATCTAACATATGTTTAATCATACTTACAAAAAAGGGGAGAGAGAATAGATGGAGTAAAGGCAATTTGAAGCAATTCTTGAACTGATTAAAGGAACTGATTCATAGATTTAAAAATCCGAATGAATCCAAACCAGAATAAATAAAAAGATACCTACCCCTAAATATATCACAGTAAAACTCAGAGTATTAAAGATAAAGATATAGAGGAAGGGCTATTTTAGATACAGTGATTAGGGAAGTCTTCCTTGAGGAGTTGCTATTTGATCAGAGACCCACATTGGAGAATTAGAGGGTGAGGGAAAAGCAAAGAAAATGAGGAAGAATAAACAAAGAGACCTGCGTTACCAGAATGGAATCACCTGGGGGGAAATTGGTAGCAGCTGAAGGTGATTGACAAAACTAGCGCCAAGGTATATAAAACCGTAGAAGCCATGGTAAGGACTTTGAATTTTTCTTTTAAGTGTGACAGGAAGAAGACAATGGGGGTTTTTAGCAGGAGAATGACATTATCTATTTAATGTATTAAAAAGTTTACTCTAGTGTGTGGAGAAGAGTATGAGAGAATAAGAATAGATGTTGTGTGAATGTTAGGAGGCCAGCAACAAAAGACCAGGCTAGAGATGATGCTCACTTAGAGTGGATGCTGCTAGTGAAGGCAGAGGGAAGTAAATGTGTTTGGGACATATATCAGAACAATAGCTAACATTTATTGAGCACTTACTTTATGCTGCACATTGTTCTAAGCACTTTACATATATTAACTCTTTTCATTCTATTAACAATCTATGAAATTGGTAATCTTATTCCCATTTTGCAGATGAGAACACACAGGCAAAGGTGAAGAAAATGTCCCAAGATCACAGAACTAGTTAGCAGTAAAGACAAATCATTAGACTCCACTGCCTCTGCTCTTACCCACTAGGAGAGAGAACTCTTAGTGACAGAAGGTACATGGGAGGAAGGAGAATATGGGCAAGGAAAACAAGATATCAGGTGTAACTCTCAGATTTCAGGCTTGCATAAATGGAATGGACAATGGTGCCTTTTACTGAGCTTTAGTGCATTGCAGAAGGCCAGGTTTATAGGAGAAGAGGATGAGTTTAGTTTAGAAGAAGTTGAGCTTCAATTGCCTTTCAAGATCCACACAGAGATGGCAAGTAAGCCAGGAATTTAAAGCAGAAGCTAACACTGGTGATGGCAAGCTGGGAGTCAGCATATAAAAGATAAATCACAGGCATGGATAAGCTTGCCCAAAGAGAGAATATAAAGTGAAAACATAAGGTACAGGACTAAGCAAGCCCTAAGAAACTCCATATGTAGAGTATAGAGAAAGGAGGAAAGGCTAGTAAAGTGACCAAGAAAGTAACTAAAATGGAGAATGTGGTATCACAGAAGCTAAGGGAAAAAAATATTTCAGCAGAGAATGGTCAACAACGTTGAAAGCTGTTGCAAGTAATCAAGGTATCATATTTTTCTCAGGGTAGTTCTCAAGCTTAAAAGGCAGAACGCACTGCAGTCTCAATAGTTTTGAATAAAAACTTTTCATAAATGACATCTAAGAAGAAAAAACACCTTACATTAAGGAATATTCTAAATTTTTCTGAATCACTTAACTATCAAAACATTTAAGATCAATATCTGAAAACCTCCATCCTTGAGTTTTCAATTTTTTAACTTTTACTGCAAAAAGCAAAAAATAGTTAAAAAATATTTTATTTATATGTAAAGAGATATAAAATTATTCTTACCTATATAAAAAAAGATCTTTGGCAAGTCGCTTAGGTCCAATGATTTTGAAGATAATTTCATATGTTTCAAGTGCTTTCCGATGAACTCCACCTGGTAATGCTGGATGTAGACACTGGGCTAGGCGTTTGCCTATGGTCAGCTTTTTGGGTACTACCTGGTACTTTGCATTATTTTGTAAAACCTTGAAGAAAACATTTTAATTCAGTTGAGAAGAAAAAATTTCATTTTATTTCCCTTTTTTAACACAGTATTATCAAAAATCCTTATAGGACTTTTTATACTCTAAAAAAATTAGAGAGGACAGCAATAAACTTTTGTTTTTGTCAGTTATATCTATCAGTGTATATTGTATTTGAAATTAAAACTGAGAATTTTAAAAAATATTTATTAATTAAAAAAAATAAACCCATTGCATGTTAACAGAAATAACATCTTTTTATGAAAAATAACGGTATTTTCCAAAACAAATATATTCAGAAGAGAGGCACTGTTTTAGATTTTTGCAACTCTCTAATGTCAGTCAGCCTTCAATCCATTTTTTTTTTTTTTTTGTGAGGAAGATCAGCCCGGAGCTAACATCCATGCTAATCCTCCTCTTTTTGCTGAGGAAGACTGGCTCTGAGCTAACATCTATTGCCAATACTCCTCCTTTTTTTTTTCCCCCAAAGCCCCAGTATATAGTTGTATGTCATAGTTGCACATCCTTCTAGTTGCTGTATGTGGGACGCGGCCTCAGCATGGCCGGAGACTTTGGTGTGCGCCCGGGATCCGAACCCGGGCCGCCAGTAGTGGAGCGCTTGAACTTAACCGTTAAGCCACAGGGCCAGCTCTCATTCTATTTTTGATACATCGTTTGAAATACATGAAGAAAACTGGACCTCAAAATAGATACGTAGTTGGAAGAGGGACAACCACTGCTTTAGTTTATCATATTACAGCAAGTAATTCTAATGCTTACAAGAATCTACAGGAGATTATAATTGTCTATGTGTTTTTAATAACTTAGTTTCCCAATTGGACCAAACACATTTTGCTTTATTTATTCAACCATAATATTTCTTTAGCGATAATGATCAGAGTAGAATTTATAGAAGATCCTATCTTACAAACCACCCAAAGAATTAGTTATTTAAGTAACAAAAAAAACTTATAAATGTAATTCTTCAAAGTATTATGGTAAAGTGCTGACTGAAATTATAAAATGAACACTGAGAATGAATACAGAATAATATACTACAACTGAATTTAGAAGAACTACACAAGAAGTCCTTTATTTTACAAAATAAAGAGCTGAAGTTAAAACATAAAATGAGGGGGCAGGCCCAGTGGCGCAAGCGGTTAAGTACAAGCGCTCCGCTTCAGCGGCCTGGAGTTCGCAGGTTTGGATCCCCGGCGCGCACCAACACACAGCTTGTCAAAGCCATGCTGTGGCGGCATCCCATATAAAGCGGAGGAAGATGGGCACAGATGTTAGCTCAGGACCAACCTTCCTCGGCAAAAAAAAGAGGAGGATTGGCATCGGATGTTAGCTCAGGGCTGATCTTCCTCACACACACACAAAAATAATATAAAATGACCTGCCAAAGGCAGCACAGCACAAGAGTCAGCATATTAGATCACTCACTTCATAAAAAAAGTGGAGGCTCTAACCGAGGTCCACTTAGGTATAACATTTTCAATGTTCTTCCCACTACAAGCCTTTAATTTTAAATTGGATGTAATGAATGTAAATAAAATTACATCGATAAATGAAAAGCAAATTATGGGCAAAACACCAGTAAAGATACAGCTTTGAAAAACATTTTATTTTTTCAAACTAGCTGCCTTCCATTTCTAGAATATTAATTTGAATTTTGGACATGGAAGCAGAGTCATTATTATTTTTTGTGCGTGTGTGAGGAAGATCAGCCTTGACCTAACATCCGTTGCCAATCCTCCACTTTTTGCTGAGGAAGATTGGCCCTGGGCTAACATCCGTGTCCATCTACCTCCACTTTATATGGGATGCCGCCACAGCATGGCCTGACAAGCGGTGCGTGGGTGCATGCCCAGCATCCGGACCTGGGCTGCCAGCAGCGGAGCGCGAGCACTTAAGCGCCACGCCACGGGGGCCGGCCCCGCAGAGTTAACGTTTACATTTATTTTAAAGAAAGTTATAATTATTACCAGAAGTACCTCTGTAGAAGGAAATTTAATGATATATAATATAAAGTGCTTCAAAAAAGAAATTCTATTAATATCAAATAAGATGAAACAAAAAGCAAAATATAGCACCAATTTCTAGAAGCATTTCTGAGTTTGAAAACTTATTTAAATGAGGTGAAAATTTATTGAGGTATATTAGTAAACAAAATTTTATAATAAAACACGTATTTTTATTATAAAATGAAATAAACATGTATTTTTATTATAAAATGAAATATTATTAAAGACATGACTATCTTTAAAAAATATCTTTATTTTCTAAATATAAAATCCTTGCCTTATGTCACCACAATTTTAGGAAAGTTTCATTAATCACTTGGATATCCTACTTTGTGTCACCTGGATACAGTGAAATCTATTTTCATGAATACTAATTAACTATAAAAAACTAATTATGCACTTAATTAGGCAATTAATTTTCATAATTTAATGAACTGCTTTTAAACATACTTCCTAGTAAGTCTTGACAAAGAGACTCTTGAGAACAAGAAAGAACCAAACTCGTACTTTTGAAAGCAATTTCTTGAGGATGTTGTAAAAAATTTGAGAATCTATCAAATCTCAAATGATACATGCTAGAAGTCAACATGTCCAACAGAAATTTGTGCATCTAATTTTAAGATAAATCCTTGGCACATTAAAAACGAAAGCTTTTCTTTTTACAATATCAAGGTAAGTATCTATAGTAAGTATCAAGTTGAAAACTAGTGTCCTTGGTATGTATTTTAAGACAAATTTCTTTCCTAATAGTTGTCTGCTCCCCCAGCCCATTTAATATTTAGAAGCATTCCTATTCAATAACAGCTATTTTTTAAAAAATCCAAAAAACGCCCCCCAAACATCACAACCATGGGTATGAGGTGAGAACAATTTGATCTAAGTTAAAAAAAAAACAGGGTCCAAATTTAAAGCTATGAGTTGATCAGTGATGCCACCCTAATAATAGTGGATAAAAATCAGACATGTCAAGAAAGATCGTTCAAGGCCAAGCTCCAAGCTCTAGGTGACTGCTTGTCACTTTTGTAAAAAGTACTAATATAACTAAGGCTTGCCTGGATGTAAAATATTTCCTTACTGCTACATACCATTTGGAAAGGACATATTAGTTACTGCTTTCCATATGCAGGTTTTCATTGTGTTGTCAGGAAATCCAGAATCATATCTGACGTTCAACTACAGAAACTTAGTAGCCCTCACAGTTGGCATATTTGCTTCTTAGTCGTGTGTTTTTATAGGTAATGACGGTAATAAATATATTTTTCAAGCACTATTGTGGTTTTGGCCTTAAAAATATGCCTGACTACATAGGCATGCAATTCATGAAATAAAATAGCATACCAAAAGTAATTCTGAGGTTTACTTATGTTTTTAAATTCTTTACTTCAAGATTTAGAGAAATTCAATAAATACAGAACAGAGATTTTTGATTTTTACTCCTTTTTATGAAATGGATAAGACAGACATACCTTATTAAGTTTTCCAAGTGCCGATATCAGATCTGCCCATTCACTGGAGTATTCAAAATTCTTTAGTGCTTTGTCAATTGCAGCTACATAGTTTCTGTATTTGGAGTCACTCAATAACTCCAGCTCTTCTGTGTTCATCCTCCCACAGCGTCCCACTAGAGACCAGTTCCAAAATCAGGTAAAATCATTACCTACAAAAAGAGTTTGCAGGAGGAACCAAAGTTACAAAGTAAAGAATTAAAATGGGTTCAGATGCTCTTGCTACAGAGTTAATGGCTAACCTGAAAATGTTGCTTGAGTTAGAAATGGTTAACACTCTGGTCAGCTAGTATGCAGGGTCATGGAAGTATTCAAGGGCCACTTGTGTCCCTTCCTAGGAACTAGAAAAACGGCTATGAGAACTAGGGATACAAAAGAGTAGGAAATATTCTGGTACTTATTTTAATTTAGAAATCATGTTATTTCTCTGTCATATTTGCTGATGTAACATTTCTGATATAACACTCCCTCCACTTTGTTTTGATCCTAAAATACACTAAGACTCGTTAGATTATAAACATCAAGGACATGCAAAACAAAACAATGAATGACTTGTTTGATTAACCAATAAATGGGCATATCGTATGAAGGAATATCAGTTCTTTGGAATTAGATCTTAATTTTAGTAAAACTGACAAGTATAAGTAGTGGTTTACAATACGTCCACAAATTCTTTGATATTACCTTCAAAAAGTGGTGCCTAATTCTCCAGCCCCTTGAGCTGGACTTTGTAACTCAATTCTAAAGGCAGAATTGAAAATGCATAACGGCCAAGACTAGGTCATAAAAGCACTTCAGCTTCCTCCTTACTCTCTCTCTTATAATCACCAGCTCTGGGAAAGCCAGCCACCACATCATGAGGAAACTTCAAGAAGCTCTATGCAGAGGTCCCTGTGGTAAGGAACTGAGGCTTTCTGCCAACAGCCATGTGAGTAAATCATCTTAGAAGCAAATCCTCCATCCCCAGGCAACTCTTGATTTGACTGCAGCACCAAATAATATAAAAGTTTAGGAGGCAAAAAACCTACTTCATTGTTATACCTTCACGCTCTGGACTCTCAGAGCAGCAAACCAAACATAAAGTAGTATTTTGAAGTATTCTAAGAAATTAAAGATAAATATGAAGTTAATAAGTAAATCAAAATAATCTTAACCTTTCATTTCAAAATTGATTTTTTTTAATAGAAGAGTTGACTATGCCCTTCCCCTACTAGAGTAGAAGTCTTTGAGAGCAGGAACTATGTTTTATACGTATCTGTATGTTCCACAGCATAGAACTTACAATAGTGAGGCTCAATGGGATTCATACACAGTGGTTTAAGTATAGTGGTTAAGAATGGGGACAAATTAAAAATTATGTAAGTTGTTTTATCATCAACCTATGGTTTCTAAAATTTTTTTAAACTAGATTTAACTATATACATAAACACACACAGAGCAATATGTGCTTCAGACACAAAAGACTAACTGACATACTAAAACAATTAAAGTCATAAACTTTCATAACTAATAGTTAAATATTAATAGATAGTGACATATATGGAATGAAGGTTCTAACGAACCTTCAAACAAACTAAAACATTTCCAGGTTTGCTTCTGAGAAATCAGAGAAGAACTGCAAAACCAAATTAAACTCAGGGAAAAAAAATCAACTTGAGTTTTCTGAAAGTGTATAAAAAAGCATAAAATAACTAAATTCTAATCAATAAACCTAAGAATGTACTAGTGGTAGATAAAATAAAGCACATGTATAAATTTTACTGACAGGGACATTTTTTTTCCCTTAGCAATATTGCCAGTATAAGATATAACCCATTCATTTTGAAGATATAGGATATTTACATGGGGAAGATTAACCTGAAAAGCAATTTAGTAATAATTTCTATCAATAAAAATAGGGGTTGTTTATAATCAGGGTAATAACATAATTGTGAAGCAATATTAACTCAATTAACATATGCTTCAGACACACTTTTCTTACTTGGTATTAAAAAAACTAACCAATAATGACCAGGTAAGTTTGTGGGGTTTATAACTCTGGTATGTGTTTACAGCTAAAAAAGTTGAGTCAGGTAAGAAATTTGGATTTTCTTATTTACTTAGCTAAAAAAAATTCTAAATATTTAAATATGATTTTAAAAAGTTCACATAGCATACGCACATGTAACACTCAAGTAGAAAAAGAAAAGCAAAATCTTATGAAAACGGGAAAGATGAGAAAGTACATTCCATAAGAGTTTCATCAGCAAGGAGCCGCAGTATTTTCTTTCACGTGAAAAGATGGTCAGATCCTAGGACTAAAAATTTGGTTATGCTTCTTCAATGATTTTAATGCAAATAAAACTACTCATTATATATCAGAAGTCTAGAGATGTACCACTTTTGAATTTTTCATCCAATATATGATAAATGCAAATTCTAGTTCTCAGGTACATTTTTCCATATTTTATTTTAAAACAGCTTAGATCAATGCTCCTCAAGCTATCTGTGGTGGAAGAACCAGTTTTTCCCCCCAATCCATGGCTGACTGATACTTTTCTAAAATATAAAATCATGAACTTAGTTGTGGCAGCAACATCAAATTGCTATAAAAGTTTCTAAATGCTTACTTTCATCTCTGAGCTTATCTCATCTTTCATTAACAAAGAATTTGTGAATGGCCCACAAATCGCACTTAGATCATAAGGCAAATATAACATATTCCCATACTGCATCAAGGAAGCTTCATATGCTGCCTCTTCTCCAGGAAGGTGGTGGCACATAGCAAAAAATATACATACATATTCAATTAAAAAAAAGTGCTTTGTAGAAACCTGAGCTCATGAAAAGATAGGCAGTAGAGGACCAGGCCTCCAAGCACAGAGGTTAAAGTCAAGGTAGCTGGGAATCCAAATCCTAGGTCTAACACTTACTTAGCAGCTATAGGGCCTTGGCAAGATGCCCAAGCCTCATTTTCCTCATCTATGAAACGAGATGATAATATCTACCTCAATGGTTGTCAAAATTAAATGAAGAACATATTAAAGTTATCAGAGTACCCGGCACATAGAAAATGCTCTAAAAAGTTATTGCCACTATGATCACTTAAAACAAAACATAGTACTAGGAAGCAAGTATGCTAACTATGAGGGCAAATAAGTTGTAGTTAAGCATCAGATATGGCTCTGAATTTATTGGCAGCAAAATGGAAGACCCTTACCAACCTATCGTTAACTGGCTCATGAATACAAATTAAAATGTGTCATTGCCAAATGTGTTTTTTTTATTTTTTATTAAACTGCACATATTTAACACACATATATGATGAGTTCTGACTAATGTATATACTCATAAAACTATCACAATCACAGCCACAGTAAAGATACATAGAACATTTCCATCACTTCTTTCAAAGAAGCATTTTTGTTTGAATTAAAAAAAAAACAAAAAAACCTACTTCCCAGTAGATACAACAAACTGTTTAATATAACCAGGAAACTTGAAAATGTAAAAATAAATAAATAAAAATTCTAATTTGTTTTTTCTTAAAGTGATGCAGGGAAGTCAAGATGGCATTTACAATCATTCTTTCAGGAGCTGTTAATAAGTAGCTTTTCTGACTTGATCTATAGTCCACTTGACAATTTAGTTGCAGTTCTTTCAAACTTACAACTCAGATAAACTGGATTTGAATTTTCATAAAACATGATTTAGTGCAGTGTTCTGGCTCATTCAAATATCAAAATGAAACAAAATAGCTGTTAAAAAAAAAAAAAGCTATAGATTTCTCTAGGCAGAGTAGGCCCTAAGAAAACTGTCAGGTAATTCAGATTTATGTTTTCATACTTGATAGTGTAAAAAGGTAAAACTTAAATAAGAAATGAAACAGTCTACAGACCATCTGAATTTTAAAAATTTTTGTTTAAATGGTTAAAAAATGAGTAGACCTAATTTCAGAATAACTACATGAAGATCCCTTGGTTGGTTTGCTTCTCACTAGCTGAGCTCTCCCTTTCCCTCCCACCTTTGCCATGAAAGGTAGAGGGAGGGCTGAAGAGAGAGAAATATTGTCTATTATCTAATTCTAAAGATACATCTGGGGACTGTCCAAGTTTTATCACATCCCAAGAATATAAATGAATAAATTATTTAAGCCATCATACAATGGGGGAGGGGAGCCCTACTTGTTGATTATGAAAGAGAAAGTACTTTAAAAAATGTTATATATAAAGTAGATGTTCTTTCCAAATTTTTTTAACTAAATGAAAAATTATCACTCAGTAATTGTTATCATCTAACAAATGTGACAATTATTAACAAATCTATTTTATTTTGGTCAAAAGTTCTGGGTTTCAGTGTTGACACTTTCACTAAATAATCTTTAGCAAATCATTTATTTAACCAACTTATAAAAGCTAGTTACTCCATAAAACTGGAACTTCCCTGGAGGGCTAACAATATGGACAGAAGACAACACCTACCAGGTGTTTCCCAAATAGGTTAACGTCATCCACTATAACCTTGATGCTCTGTACTTCCCCTCATCTGACCCAATCTCAAATCTTCAAATGGTATGTATACACTCTAGGAAAGTCCAAATATGTGATCAACAGATCTTCAGCTTTTCCCTGCATTTTCCTGCCACCTTCTAGTCTTAATTATTTAAGGATAAGACCTCCTCTGATGCAGCAGTGGTACCAGCATCTTAGTTAACTTTATATTGTGTTTACTAAATGACAGGCACTGTTGAAATGCTTTGCATGTTTTAATTCATTTAATCCTATGAGGTAAGTACTCTTTTATTATCCACATTTACAGATAAAGAAACTGAGGCATAGAATTATTATGTGATACAGGTAATACATGGCAGAGCCAGGGATTTAAACTCCAGCAGTCCGACTTTAGAGTTCTAACTCAATCACCATCTTCACTCCTATGGACGCTTTTTTCCTTCTCATACCTATCCTGTCTCACGCCCAGGGAGTGAAGTGTCTTCCTTACTCCCCCTATTATACTTCCCTGGCAAAACTCCAATCCTGGTTAAGCTCAATTATCTGCTTTCTCCACGCCTGAACCCAAGCAATTGAACACTGCTGGAGGAAAATCATACAACTGGGCTAAATGACTGCACTTTGAGAAACACAAACTTCAAACAGGCACCCAACACTGTTCT